TCTCATCACCATCATCCATTTCATCCAATTAGTCTTAGAGTGATATTATCTAATCGCAATTTTACTCTGGGATGATATATGTAAAGGATGGAGGAGTTAAGGAAGTACAATTATATTGAGTATTGAATGTGTAAGCTGTTTCCTAGAATTCAATGATGTCCAAATTACCTATGTATGCTTACCCTCCTGATTGCAATAGGCTTAAGGAAAGCAATGGGTTGTAAAATAGGAATCCCTTCAATATAGATAATTTATTGATGTACAATAATTTCAACTGATTCAATTGCAAGGCAGATGTATAATTGATTTACTGAAACAATGAGTCTCCAATTATCAATCTGCCACTCGTTTGAGTATACACACTGCTGGTTTGCAAGAAGTATAAGTATTCAAATACTTAAATCTACGGAGTCACACTAATCAATTTGTCAATGCTATTATCAATTACACTCACTTCCTCTAATGACACCTGTTAGAATGAAGCATCTGCTAAGAAGTCCACTCTCATAAAGGAAGTATCCAAAGCTTAACATTACTCGAAATAAGAATTTGATATTGTGATATTCTGATTTTTATTTGAAGCCAACACATAGATGCAACCACCAGTTTATCTGACTCTGCTGAGAACAATACTTAAATTTGAAATGAGACAAGTTAGATCAGACAAACTCGAATCAATATACAAACTTCCTCCTGTGGATGAGTGTTTCAATTCTAAACTACTGAAGATATTTCTTAATTAGGAATTCCTGATTTTTATATTTGACATCCCAATTGTTGTTAACTTTATAACTGCTTAGATTCCATATGTGTAATTGATGAAAACCTGAGAAATTGTCGCTGTGGTAGTTGTTAAGTCCATTATGGTTCCGTATGACTTTATTTCAAAGAATGAGTTTATGTCATCATCTGTGATAATTAGATTAGGCTCAACTCTCTTCACCCACTATCTATCTATTATATTGGTGTATCTAAATGTTGCATTGTTGATGACTATTTTTAGACAATCAATTTTGATTAAACCGTAATCACTCTTTATAGCTCTGTTGTATTCTGAGACAAAGTTGGTCATTTGAATAGTCGATCTTGGAGATGATATTTCGAATAGAGTGACAATGACTATGGTCTATTTGGATAAAATCTATTAGAGATGATTACTCTAAAAGTTTAGATTATCCATAGTAATCGTCTAAATTTGATTCGATTAGATCGTTAAGCAACCGGAAAACAACCCTTTTTTAGTGGACACTAAGGAATTGTTGAATATTTGGAATCCAGATAAGTTAATGCTCTCAACTGTGTTACCATTGGTAGTGTTTTAATAGGCTACATCATATGATTGAATGTAGAATATTGAAGCATCTATAAACAATTGTCTTTGGACCAAAACATCAGAAATGGTTACAGAACTTGAAAATTGATAGATAAAGAACAATATGTAGGAGAATGAGGATGCTGTGACTTTGCGATCTGAACAGTCAGTGGTCGTAGGTATTAAATTATTCGTTGGACTTACTTGTTTTTAGTAATAGTTGGTTTGACTCCAATCGTATTTTAATGTTGTAATTGTTAAGGACTTGATTGTAGAAATGTAGAATATTGTTAATCCTTACACATTGTCAAATTGGGCATTTGATAGTTTTACATCTGAAAATTTATTCCAATTTATTAATGCTGATGTTGTCAGAAAAGTATTTTATTAACTGATATCAGACAACCCAATATTGGTAATTTATAAATTGCTTATAGTCAACATGGAGGTTATGGAGTATGTATTAATTGGAGTACTCATGATCATCAAGCAATTTATTGAATAGCAATTGGAGTTGACAATCTTGATTTTATCCAGTTTGTACTCCAACAATGAGCTCTATAATTAATCATTGGTTTTCATCTCCTTGACAGTCTAAAATATGACTGAGTTGTTTTGGAGTATGTTGCTGTCGAAGTAGAATTAAGAAAATTGGAATGAATTCATCAGAAATGCTCTGCTATTAACAAAGCGATTATAGAGGATATCCACATTTGAAAATTGCTATGATGTTTGCAGATTAGACAATGGAAATAGAGTGCTATTGGAAAAGTAATTGAACATCAAAATCAGTTTGTCAATCTGATAATATAGGCTATTAGTTTGAAAGGTTGACTTTATTATTGATGAACTTAAAAAATTGCCTGAAGTGATTTTCAGATTGCTGATCTTCAAGAACAAGGAGGAAGCAAGATTGGAGAAAGTGATTATACTTGAGAAGTTGTAATTGCAATCGGTTAATTCTACATTACTCAATTTAATATCTTGATAACTAAGAGAACGCAAAGAGTAATTGAAGAAGACTACTTGATCTTTTGTTTCGATATTTCTGATTTTCACATTGGACATAGTGAAATTTACAGGATTTTCAGCAATAATGAGGAGTTTCTGATTTTTGTATTTTTCCTTCACAAATTCAATATCATTAAGAATTAATTAGGATTCGTCCTCACTCTTCAAATAAAATCCAAACTCTTTGGGAGCATTTTTTCCATCCTTCAAGTATTCAATTTTAATTTTATTTAAATTAACCTAAGACACACCCTTAAAAGTGATCAATCCAGCTACTTTCCAATCTTATTAATCCTCTCGATCCTGATTGATATTTAATATAACCGTCTGTAAGGAAAATACATTTTAACGAAAAGAAAACTGAAATTGGGTTTCCTTTTTGAATTAACATACATCGCCAGTTAATTTCATGTTGATAGTCAATACCTTAATTGTTTTATCATTGTAATCTTGATACTATTGGAAAGAGTCAACATTCTAGAAAGTGATGACTGAAACCTTAGTTTTAGCAGAATTGTATTTTTCTAAGTCTGTATCACAATTGAATTCTAAGTCTACCTCATCAGAATTGAAACACTTGTACTATTTGGTAAGTGAACAATCAGCAATTTCACATTTAACAGGCACACCAATTTTGTTATCAAGAAATACACAGGCGGCTTCAGCATCCTTAATTAACTTATAACACATTCTACTGTATTTGTAGAGTACTTCACTTACTGGATTGAAGTACCTATTAACAGTGGGATCACTATCTAATCTATCTCTACAGGCTGCACAATAATTTGGACACTCCTAACATTCACTCATATCAGCAAGGATTGATTGCTAATTAGGATCGCCACAATTATAACAGAAGGCTTTTTCATCATCTTCATAGCAACCCATACAATTGCTGGTACATCCCATACATTAATTATCATATAGAGAGAATCCTTCTAAACATTAAGTGCATTTGGCATCTTATTATGGTTCAAGTATGAACAAGGAAAAGTCATCTTAGGTGACAACATTGTAATTTTATAAAAAGGATGTAAAATTATAGCTTGGAGTGTATTACCAACAGGTCTTGCAATTAACTGGGCATGCTACACATTTACCTGAGAATACATCAGGATAATAGCCATAGGCACATTAAGTACAAAAGGACATAGTTGAATCTTCGTTCTCAGGTCGTTTTTAGACAAAGCATTTTTCACAATTCTTAATAATTTTAGAACAGAGCTTGGGTGAACATTAAGGTGAATCTGGATTTGATAAATCTAAAATTTTATCATAACAAAATGTGCATTTATTGTCAGAAGCATCGGTGCCATCAGGAGCTTTATTATAAGAATTACAGTTGGAGGGAGGAGGATCAGGAATTTCTATACACTCAGTTTTCTCTTTGTTTCTATAATAACCATTTGCGCATATATGACATAACATTTATGAAGTTTTTGGATAGGATTTGGGGATGAAATCATATTCTAAAGTAGTATGACCCTTATCATCTAATTCATAATAGCAAATCTGACAATTTTTGATTGAGCAATCTTCACAAGTTTCTCCATCATAAGAGATGAATTGTGAGTTTGAAACACACTGTCTACATCTCAATAAATACTTGTAATATGGATCAAAGTACTAATCTCTTGTTCCATATTCTAAGTAACCATAATCCTCATAATTATCATATGAAATGTATTCGCATCTTGTGCATTGATTTCCGCAAATGAAGCAATTCTGAAAATCAGTGCTTTCAACCAGGTATTCTTCATTTGTTTTTGAACATTATAGACATAACAACATTGAATCAGAATACTCACATTTTATGCAACCAGGTTGACACATTTAACATAACGATTAATCATTCAAATAAAATCCTTCATTGCAAGCTTAGCATGATGAGGAAGTACAAGTTTTACAATTTGGTTGACATTCCCTACATTCGAAATTTTCATAATAGTAATGATCCAAACACAAAATCCCATTGAATAAATTATCCTATTAGTTGTTATCAAAACATGATAGACCTTCATCTCCTTCATCTCCTTCATCACCTTCGTCATTATTCTCATCATTGTTTTCATCATTATTTTCATCAACTTCATCACCCTCATCGCCCTCATCACCTTCATCTTGATTTGTATTCAAAGTACAGAAGACACTACATCCTTCACAAATTGACAGCTCATATTTGAATGTCACAGGTCTTTTTGGATTTACAATTTAAGTTGGCTTCTCCTATATATAAAATATAGTTTTCTAGACGTTTTCTCTCAAATACACATCTGCTGAAGACCCTGTTTGGATTCTGTAATTATAGGTACAAGCCCTGGAGGATTACCAATTATAGGGATCCTCCAAACAATCACCACATAAAATATTCAAAGGGTCTGAATACAAAAAATAAGGACTAACTAGATAACTTCTACATACCATGGTAAACAGTTAATCTAATTCAAAGCATCGACATATAGGAAGTAACCGAATTCGCATGGAATGTATTGTTTTTGGGAACAATCAGCAATACCTAATGGACAGATATTGCCTTTAGCATCATACCCAAATTTTGTTGAACTCCTATATGTTAAGGAATATAGCATACACTTTTGCATAGGCCACTGCCGTTAAGTAAAATACAAAAAACATATTAATGAATTTATAAGTCAATTTGCAATTTATATGGTGCTTATCTTATATTATAACTAATTCGGCATATTTGATATAATCACATAATCACTAATAAATCCTTATGATTGCTTTTAGTTCCTAAGGCCATTCCCAAGGCATATCCATCGGCTGAAATATCAATGGATTTGATTAACCCATCATTTTACTAAAGACCAACATCTAAATTAGTGTATATATCGGTATCTCCCAAAACATCAAAAACCTTCAAGGTCGAATTTTCACTTGCAGCGAATATGTATCTTCCACTCAAAGAAATGGCAATGGAGTAGATCGAATCATAGTAACAACTATCCTGAAATGATACTATGGGATCTTTCATTCTCAAGTCCCACAAGTTTATGGAGGCATCGTCACTCCCAGTCACAAATGTTGTTGGCTAAGGCATTTGAATGAACTTCACAGTATTCACTGCTGACTCATGGCCTATGGTTTGGTGTGTTACTTGTTACCTTTGTATTCAGCCTATACGGGTTTTTTCACTCTGATATCCCAGATTTTACATGTCAAATCGCTGGAACCAGAGATAAAAATGTTGCTATCGTTTTCGTAGGCATGCAAAGACAGCACGTCTCCAGTGTGTTGCTGATGGATGGCCAAGTATCTCTGAGGGTTCTCCAGGTCCCACAATGATACCAAGGAATCTGTTGATCCTGCCTATATAAATTAGTATTCTATACAATTATATATTATGGACTAAGAAACTACACACATTGGATTGAACCAGAGTGGCCAAACAACTCTATGTTGGGCTTATCTTTGCTGAAACTCTTGCCTTTTTTGTTACTTTGATTTATTCTTTTTATTACTTTAGAATATTTACTCATAAACTAAGACTTTCCCGTCTAACGTTCCACAGGCTACCTTCTTCCCTTCTTGCTTTTCTACATCCACTGTTGTTAGCCACATGTTCGAAGCATGAAATTATTGAATCAATCTATTTTGTGCAACATCCCATATTTTTAAGACTCCAGAAATATCTATGCTCGCTAACTGAGTCTTATATTTCTGGTTGTTAAAACAAATATCAGTTATCTTCGCATTCTCAACAGTCTTGTTATTCACTACTTCTGCTAACATCTTGCGTTAAGTGATTTGAATTCCTAATTTTGGTTCATTCACATTCAAAGGATTAGGGTTTTTTATCATTTTTGATAATAAAAATTTTTATTATTATTTATATATAATCATCTCATTCCTTATACTCTCTACAACCAACATCATTATACCTATTGCTATTAACTAGATTCGATTCATAATCAATTCCTATTTCTGAGTTATTGACTTTATTTCAATCCCTCCTTCGCAGAGATAAATAACCCCTATAAAAATAACTCTAAATTGATTCCATATAATATTAAGAGCAATCAGTCCCTATTCGTTTTTAGTAACATTGAAAATTATCTTAAGACATCCAGATAATCTAAATCTCATTTAATTAAGCGAGCATTTTTAAGATGAATATAAGAACAAATAATAATAACTGATATCTAAAAGAATGAGCTTTTTATATCATCTATAGAAATTAATTGAACAGGGTAGATAGACTTTGAGAATTTTCTTATTGCCAAGATAGATATATCGTCATTTAAACACTCGCTTATAAGTGTTAATTTGAGTCATCCTCCTTATAGGTTTAAACAAAAAACCCTGATGATCAAATATTTGTAAATTTATTTCATTTAAAAGAATCACTAACACACTTTATCTTTTATAGACAATACAATCTCCAACATTGTAACAAACACAAACCTTTAATTGCAATGACAATAGCAACTCCCTTTAATACAATTAGTTATTAATAATTTAATATAAAATTTTATTTATGCTTAAATTTCTAATCACATCAAAGTTCTCATTAAGATTAATTAAAAGAAGCATAGCATGCTTCTCCTAACAGTCAGTTTCTAAAGAATAGGAATATTTCTCTGATTGGGAATCTGACTCTGAGTCTAAAGCTCTACTTACTAAATTTGAAGTGTATTAACATTTTGCAAATGCATAAACAACCGAAGATGTCATTAAGGCTTTCAATGAGAATAATTTATCATATGAATAGATTCATTTTGCTGCATTTTAATTGATGAATATAGTTTAACACTAATAAGTTAATCAAGACTCCTAGTTAGACGCATTTATCTAAGAAAAAATAATTCCTAATTTCGATAAATTGAGTTCAGAGCAAAGTGTTACGATCATTCAGCTATTCTTAAAATTATCCAATAAATCCTATTGCACTTAAATAAAAAGACACATTGATTAGAATTTGAAAAATTATACACACCTGCAATTGGCATATGTGTTTTCTTTCTACTCAAAATAAGGGTGGAAAATGGTACACATTGCCAAGATACTCAAGCATCATTTGTCTACTCAAACCTTTACTGCTCACCCTTTATGCTAAATAATACGAGGTTGTTACATTGAGCACATTACTCTCAAATAAAATTATCATTCCGATTTGGCCTATTAAGCTTGTCAATAATTAGTTAAACTAATAGATAATATCAATTTTCATGGTTTAGTTACAGTATTTAATTAACTCGCTCATATGCAATTGGATTAAAATACATCATAAAGAAAACTTCCTGAAATTATGTCTAAACTTTCGGAAAAGTTCATTAAAAATTTTGATAATCTCTCATAGTTTTCTAAGTTGAAACTCTTGGAAGCCTATTCTGAACTTCCAGAATAATTCCCAGTTGATTTGTATTAAAAATTATATCAATCCTTTGAATCTGATAACTTGACTAGTGCAAATCAATTGAAATTATATGTCTTTCTAAAACTGCAAAAAGAATAAAATTAACCATCCAATGAAGTTCTACAGGTGTTATTAAATAAGATTAATTTTGAAGATATAACAGAGACTGCCTTATTGATAAGATTTCTTGATGTTGAATTCGAAGAGTAAAATCTAGAGAGCATAAATTTATGTATCCAGAATCTAAAAAGGAACGTGAACGATTTTAGTGTGAAATAGAAGGCTGAATTTATAAAAGTGCTAATTAAATAAAATAGATTAGATGAAATTTTAGATCTGAATTAGAACAATGATAGTTCTCTTCTCTAATTTATTGAATAATTACATAATTGTCATAAGTAGATCAACAGTTGCAAATCAATTAAGCAATAAGAAAATATTAATGCAAGTGTGGAATCATTTCTAGATAAAGTAGTAAAGTTAGATTACGATCTAAAATTGAAGATCTCGTCCTTAATTATTACTTTAGATCCTTATTCTGAGGATCCTTTCTACGAATTTATTGATAGACATATCAAATTGGAATCCTTACCAGAATCCTACTTTTAAAATTTTATTTTAAGATTAAATAGCAAATCTCATTTCAATCCAGAAATCAGAAGTAGGAGTGAGCAAATGCTTCCATCTTTTGAGTAATTATAAAGAATCATAAACGATATTAATACTATTGATTTCTTAAACGACAAATTAGTAAAACAAATAGCAAAATGGTTTTTAGTTTTAACTGATAAAAGCATTATTGATGATTCCTTCAATATTAATGCATCCTTAAACCTATTGTTTACATTCCTTCTCAACTGTCCTTATCACTCACTTCATAATATGAGAGGGACAGTTCTACAAACCATCAGAGAATTGATTGAATTGTTCACCAAGCAAGTATATTAGTCTCAACAGAATATTAATATCAATATAGGAATGCTTATTAAATTTAATGAATAAATTACTTAAATGGAATTAAAAACAAATTTAATCAACAATATTTGTTAAAGACTTTGTAAATAAATAGACAGTATGGGTGACTTAGAGAAGTTATAAGTGGCAACTATTATCACAGAGGCTAATATTCATTAATTCCAGAGTATTGCAGTTATAAATAATTTCTTAAATTTGGCACTTGCTGTGGAGATAGAGACCTATGAGGCCATTTTAATGAAAACAAAGCTGTTATTGTATTAAATGAAAAATTAAGCAAAACTACGTCAGAAATCAGACGAAGTGTCGTTGAAATTCATGGTAGATCAATTGAAATAAGAGATTATCAAATTTGATCTAAACAACTCAAAAGAGCATTATTTGGATGGTTTGATGCTCTTGTTGGAATATGATGGTTGGAGATATAGCAATTTGAGAAACGAATATGATGATGGTTTGTAAGACTTTATAGAAACATATTTTGATAATTTAGAGCATCTATTGACTATGAATAGCATGAGACCAGGTTTGAAGGCTATTATCAGGACTATCGGATAGTCTGAATCAAAATATCAATTTCTAAGGAGTTATGGTTAATTGTTTAAGAAAATGTTTTCAAAATGTCATGATCTAAAGAATCACTAAATACCTCAGATTTCAATTTGTTTGGATTATATTGAATTTGCTAGGAAAATCAAAGTTAATAATGATGACTCCATCCAAGTCTTAACTGATTACATCAAGAGACAGATAGACAATTTAAAATAGGTGTAAATTGTAGAAGTCATACAAAATTTATCAGAATAAAAAATCTACGTTGAATCCTTATTTGATTCATTGAGTAGACTAATTTCAAGGAAGTTGTAATATTATAGTTCTTTAGAATTGATAGAGATTCTAAACTCTCATGCCAAGATCGGTTATTTTAATGAAACATTGATGTTGAATATTTTGGATAAGTTATAAAGGGAATAAAGAATTTAAGCCAACCTCGTAATCTTTGTATCGACATTATGGAGTGTTTTGATTCATTTATAATACTTCAAGAAATAATTGAATAGAGATTATTACTATAGATATGATAAATTGATTACACTTCTAATGAATGAGTATGTATAAAATAATGTAATTTAGAGTGTAAAAGTTTCCAAACTTCCCTATTAACTCCAAAATGCCTGTTGTTTTTCGACAATTTATGGATATCTACAATCTTTTAGAGTTTAATTAACATTTAGAAATATGTAATCATATTTAATTTATTTTTAAAGAATTAAATCAAAAGCATTAATAGCTAGGCAAATAAATTGTTGATAATGCTAAAAAAGTTGTTAATACGAAATTTATTCCAAATTAAAAATTAACTTAGTAATTCAAAAACTTAATGCTATTTCTTGACAAATGCTAGGTGGAGTATTAAGTAAATTATTTCCTTGACACTCAATATGTTGATTTCTATATTTAAATGAGAAATCAAATTATATCGGTCGATAATTCATTATATGTAACGTATGATATGGTACATAATTGTCTTTATCAAGAAACATTACACTGGTTTTCATCATTTTAATAAATGGATTCTTGAAGGAGCTGCTAAAAAATACGATCTAAAGGAAATTCGAATCAATGCTCAGGAGTGGAATCAGTTGACCGATGATCAGAGAAGAAAGCTTGTGTTAATTTGAAATATTTAAGTTTAAAATATTAAATTCCATTTTTCTTTCAACAAAGATAGTTAATGAGTAATGAGAATAGAATATTGAGAATATTATAAATTCATTCCATGAGGAACTTTCACTTTAAAAAATCCTTTACACTTTTTTTCTTCCCCTCATTGATTTAAGTTACCTTATCCTATTGATGAAAAAAGCAAATCAAAATGTCATCAGCAAATCGCACTTTATTCTCTAGCAAAGTTCTCTCAGAGTATACTTTTGTGCTTTCCTCTTCATCAATATCGCCAAAGGATTTCTATATAAAAGCTATATGAATTGAGTTCAGTCCAATTCCAGGCTTGCTCATGATTTAATTGCTATTTATATAATTTATATTATTGCTATTTTTGAATTGGTCAACTCATACAAGTATCTAATACTTAAGATATTTAATCAGACAATGAGCTTATTAATAATAAAACAAGTACAATAAATTGTTAAATTTACAGTCTACATTCGGTTCGAAATTGATTCAAATTTTATGAAGAAATATATATATAAACCTACGAAAAATTAACTGGAATCTAAATTTGTTGAGGTTTTTTTATAAGAATGACTCTACTATTAAATTTATAAATAATCAATAAGAATTTGAGAAACCCCAAAGCCATTTGCCTTTGTATTCTAATGACTAAGATTTATAAATAAAGAAATAAATTAAGCTTAAAAAAAATTTACAAAATGAAATAAAATTTTTATATATAAATCTGACCAGTCATTGCAATCCATATTTAATGGTACTTATTAACATTCTCAAAGTCTGATTAGTATTCCTATTCATGATAAGATGAGATTTCAAAATGAATTAATTTGACTTTATAAATTTATTATATATATTATAGATTATCAAAATAGAGTATTTAATTGTTGCTCATGAACAAATTTAATTGTATTGTTTTATGTATATATTAATAATTATTTTATTTTTTCTAGAAATTTCTAATAGACATGGCAGAATACATAAGTCTAAATGAAGACGGAGGAATCTAAAAGCTAATTCTTGAGGAAGGCCAAGGAGATTAACCTTAATAAGGAAATACATGCGAGGTATCAAAAATTTCTAAATCTTAGATGTTCTATACTGGAAAATTGGAGGATGGAACAGTATTTGATTCAAATGAAGGAGGGGATCCTTTTAGTTTTACTCTAGGCTAGGGCGAGGTCATTAAAGGATGGGATGTTGGTGTTGCATCAATGAAAAAGGGAGAAAAGGCGCAATTAAAAATTAAATCTGATTATGGATATGGAAAAAATGGAAGTCCTCCAAAAATACCAAGTGGGGCTACTCTTATTTTTGATGTCAAATTAGTGGATTTCAAAGAGAAATAGAAGTAGAAATGGTATAAATGATTAAATATTATTAGGGAATTGAGTGATGAAGAAAAGACTAATGAAGCCAAGAAATTTAAAGAATTGGGAACAACTGCTTTTAAGGCAAAGAACTATCCTGAAGCCATTAAATAATATCTTGAGGCTGCCAGCTATTTTGAGGCAGAGACAGAATTTGCTCATGAACAAAAATTGGCTTCTCATTTAAACCTTAGTCTTTGCTATTATTATACAAAAGATTACAAAGAATCTGTAGATCAGGCAACTAAGGTTATCTAAGATAAACCAAACAATGCTTAATTAGTTAAGGCATATTATAGAAGAGCCATAGCATATAGTTCTTAAGGTGATTACACAGAAGCAAAGAATGACTTAAAGGCAGCTTACGCTATTGATCCAAATAATTAAGCAGTTATTGAAGAAATGCATGAAGTACAAAACAAGATAAATTTGTCCAAAAAAAAAGAAAAGGATATTTATGGAAAGTTGTTTTAATAATAATACTATGAAGACGAGGCTAAACCTACTTCTTCTTTAGAAGAAAGTGATCCTAGCAATGTAACTACATACTTTGATATCAAAATTGGAGATGATGAACCAAAAAGAATGGAATTCACTTTATTCAAGAAGTCTTGTCCCAAGACAGTGGAGAATTTCAGGGCTCTTTGTACAGGTGAGAAGGGTATTGGCAAATAAGGAAAACCTTTACATTATAAGGGTTGTGAATTTCATAGATTGATCAAAGATTTCATGATTTAAGGAGGAGATTTCACTTAAGGAAGTATAGATTATTATTATATTTAAGATGGTACTGGAGGTGAAAGTATTTATGGAGAGAAGTTTGCAGACGAGAACTTTAATCATAAACACACTGGAAGAGGATATTTGAGTATGGCTAATGCTGGTGCAAATACAAATGGCAGTCAATTTTTCCTTCTTTTTAAGGACACTCCTTGGCTTGATGGTAAATAAACAAATCTAAATTATAGGCAAACATGTTGTATTTGGCAAAGTAACTAAGGGTATTGAATTACTTGATGAAATTGAGAAAATTGAAACAGAGTAGGACAAACCAAAAGTTAGTATTGTTATAGCTGATTGTGGAGAAATCAAATAATGATAATTTAATGTAATTATTATTATAAATTGTTATAAACAAAATGTCACTCTGAGTCGATCGTTTATGAGATTTTAAGATATTTAATAACGATAAAATTATGAACTTATAGTTTTAACCTATTAAAATGCCATTATTCTAAAGAAAGCATTATTTAATTTTTATTAATTGAATGAATTTTCATTCCAATTGGAGATACGAAAAAATGTAGTTAATCAAAGATGTTCTAATTAACAAAAATGTTGTGCCCATTTATGTCCAAAATAAACTAATGAAAGAATTGGATTTCTAGATCAGAGCTTTTGGAAATAAAAATAAAACTTCCTCATCCCCCAGGAAAAGTTGTAATCGTCGTATTAAAACTCTTGATCATAGTCCTCGCAATCTACTAATTGAAAGGAGTGTTAGCAAGAGTTACAATAAAGAATAGGATTGCTTAAAATGTCGGAAATTCAATTTTTAGAATAAAATTATTATTCAGTGTGATACTGGTCAGCACATGTTTCATGAAAAATGCATTCTGGACCTCTTTAAAGAATAAATTTAAGATATTAAACCCCATTTTTCTTGTTTCTGTGGGATGAAATTATGTCCAGAATTTGTAAGAGAACTAAAAGTAAAGGGCATAGAGCAATTAGTTAATTAGTTGTATGAATAATAACTAAAATGTATTACATATCAAGTGCAGATTCAGAATTGTCTAAATCCATTGTGTAATTTTTTTTGGATCAACAACTCTAAAAAATCCAGAAAATATGGACGATAACTTAAACCTCTCGCAAAAAAGTATTGTCCTTATTGCTGATGAATATTATTTGTATTTTGTATTTAATCGTTTTTATAAATAATAGTATACATAAACTAATCACATTATTACGCTTCATCTTCCTTAATTTTTTAAATAGGGATTTGCACCATTTTATAATAGTAGATCAGCTATTTCGAAATTATTATGAATCATAGCATAGTGAAGAGGTGTATTTCCATTTTTCTATTATAATAATTGGTTTATCTTACATCAATTTGATTTAAATTAACATTGTAATTCATCATATGTCTAACAATACCTTCATGACCATTTGCAGCCGCAAGTGAAATTAAAGGAATACCATCAGTGGTAAGCCCATTCAGATTAAAGTTTCTATGCAAATCCATGAACTCTTAGAATTAATTCAATAATCCATGTTCAATCATAATAGTGGCAATCTTTTTTTTAGACCTGTTTCTTTTCATCATCTTATCAAAGAGCAACATTGTTTCCAACTTAATACTTTGAGGATTTGCACCTTTCTTATAATTAGATAATACCATACATTGTTTAAATTTATTTATTGCGTATTCGATTTAACTGAATCTGACATTGATTCATTGTAAATAATATCTGATTTAACCGATGAGATCATTTTTATATCCTTTAAATACTTGATCGAGTCTTCTTTGTTCTAAGTTCTTAATGAGATTTAATTAGAATCAATCATAAGTTTTGGGAGCTGTTATTGAGATTTAGACATAGTAATCTTTTTAATTTCACCTATTGAATCTTAAGAAGTATCGTTTTGACTTTTTATTAGAGGATCTACTAATTGAAATGAATTATCTTGATTATGCGGAGATTTGGGTGATAATGCATTCCTACCATGAATGGATTTTTTAATGCTTTTCATAATAGTCTATTCATTTGAAGATTACTATAAGATATTTATTTATGGAAGTTAAGGTGATCCTGCCGCACTATCTGAACTTTATTTATTGGAAAATATTTGTATAGTAGCTCGATGTTAAGTTGGTCCATCAATTGTCTAACTTTATTTTTACAAAACTCCACTCTGCCAATTCTTCCTTTACCTTAAAGAGTTGAGCATCTTTCTCTTATCTATCCCTTCTTCTATTTAAAGATTTCCTTTTTCAACTGCTATAAGATCTGGAGCTTCGTATTCCAAATCATCAATAGGATTTGAATTGCAAAAATTACCAAATAGGATGTCGTTATAAGTTTGATTATAATGCTAGGCGTAAGTTTTATAAAATATCGGATTATTGAATTCTTCCTCAAAAGTTGGTACAATTTGATTGATATTATCCTTATATATTTATTAATCAGTGGTTGAGTAATCAACTGATAATAACGTATTTTTTGAATTTTTATCTAATTCTGATACGATAGATTGGAGTTAAAATTAATGATTATTTAGACTTTAATTTTGTTCTGATTAAATAGGAATTAAATTTGATAAGGCATTAGTTTTCGCGTATTTAAATAGTTCCGAATCTTCGTCTTCATCAATTTCCAATGACTCTTAAATTTTTTTCTCATTCAATTCAGAATTATTGTGATCTACTGAAATGGTTAGTTGAGAATTTTCATTTAAAAAGTCTATCCTAATATCAAATATAATAAATACATTCCATAGGTTTAAATTTCATTTTAAAATCTAAACAAACATTCAGTCTTATAATGCTCAAGTTAAGTCTGACTATAAATTTTGTTCAGAAACATAGCTTTACGTTATTCTTGAATATCTTTAGCATTTTATTGATAATTATTCATTAATTATAAAAGTTCGTTATTAATTTCAAGTATCCTATAAAATTTTAAATTCTTATCAAAATATTAACTAAAATAAAACTTAAATTAACTTTAAGAAAATGTGTAGTTTTCTTTTAATTTTACTGGCTCAAAGGACGCATTCTCCAACCAAATTCTAGAAGATCTTTAATGAGCCTCATAACGATATGATGGTTATTTTATAGTTCTTATCAGCTTCATTACCTAATCTGTCAATGAACTAGTCTTCTTTTATTCCTTTGATTAAAAGTTTTGCACTCTTTATCTAAATTTTTTCTTTTTCTAATCATTAAATAAGTAATTAAACGAAATTTTTTTTTGTTACATATCAATATTTGAACATTCAATATCTATTTCCTATTATTTGTCTTAATTATCAATGATGATATCAACATTTTATTCGGTGAACTGCTGGGTAATGAGTTTTATTGATTCTGTTTACAAATGTCTATTATGAGCCGATATTTTGTGTTTAAAACTACGATTTTCTGTTGATAGAGTACTAATTGAATGCTTCCTTTCTTGATTAAAATTATTGTTCGCAAAATTGATTTGCTATTCTTCCAATTTAATAATTTTTGATGTGTTTGGCGAACTTACTGGGCTAATCTGATTGGAATGAAAGACATATTTGGTATAAGTCGACAAAGGGCTCTGCAGTTATAATTTTTTAGGTTTAGCTTCTCTTCGAATCAAATAAATTGGACGTCTAGGAGAAGATTCAATACTAATTGATTTTGGTTTGGCTGTAATATTTTCTCTTTAGGAATTAATTCTCCATTTAAGATTACGCTTAATCATATATAATAATATATAATATTGATTCTTATCACGCCACTGTTAAATCATCATTAAAATATAGATGAATTGCTGGAATATACCACTAGACTCTCAGGAACTCCTAATTATTCAAACTCATCGGTTTCATCAGGTATACCATTGGCACTCAAAGTTAATTCCATATCCAAAGGTTTTCCCAATCTCTTCCAAGTATAACTTGCAGCATGTGCATTAATCTTTTTATACCTATCAAGAATTTCATTGATAGTTTCTTCAGAAGGCACCTAAAAATTAATTTGATATTAAAATTACTTCAATGATGTCTTCGTGATCTGTAAGCATGTTGATTATTTTGATCTTTCTTGTTTTGTGACTCAAATTTCCAATACAATATTGTTATTCGTTGTTCCACCATCTTGAAATAATCAATTATAATTCATTACGGTTTTGAGTGATTCCCAAGCTCATCATCTCCACAAGGGTCAGATGATGGAATGTGCAAATATCTGCCTTATGGACAATAATAGGTTATCAACCCTGTATTGGTATCTACTTACCTATTCAAAATAATCATAAAATTCGTTACTTTCTGGGTTCTCCGGTTTATTTATCAAACCAATATGATATATCACTTCCAGCTATTTTGATTAATGGTTCGCATAGTTTCGATGAAATATTTTCTTAGACAAGTTATGTAAGATCCCAAACCTTGCCAAAAAAACTTAACCACAAATCGTTGGCTGTATTATGCACTGAGACATCATAAGGAGTATAATAGGCTCTTCTTTTGTAATCTTTAGGCAGATATTGCTTGAGAGATTCGTCCATTTATTAATTATATTAATTTTCATACTTTATAAACTTTATCCATAATAGTATTCTCAAGACAAATCAAAACCTAATTCAAATAGTTCAAATTAAAAAGAAACTCTTTTATTAGAAATTGTTAAATGACGTGAATTCATTAAACTCCTTCAATCCAATCTAATTCATTTTTATTATTTTCTCTATTTTAATGGAACAAATAATTAATATTAAAAATTTTATTTCCATTAGTGAAGTTTTTGAGTTTAAAAAATATCTAAAGAAACCAAGTCCTCAAAATAATCTAGAGCAAATTATTTCCTGTTTACAAATAAAAACTAATCCATACATTGAAAATTTAATAGAAACTAAATATTGAAGTTTAATTTATATCTTTATTATATATAAAATAATAATAAATTTCAAAATTATCTTTATATACATTCCTATTCAAATTCCACAATTAGATCATTATAAATCAAATTAGAGATATCCAGTAGTAAATAAAATTTGTACTCATCATAGTTCAGCCAATTTGATTCCTCAATTTAAACCTATGCTAATATATAATTTATACTTCCTAGTGCAGATAATCGATCTCAGCCTATTCTAATCCTTTTTGTAAAAAACTCTCTAATTCATGGTTTATTTAACAGACCTTCGTTTAATGATTGTTGGTACATTATTCATCATCCCATTCAATAGTTTCATGATTGTAATCTAATTGTTGAAATTTAAACTTTTCATCTGGAGTCTAGGATGTAGATGTGTGAGTCTTTAAACGATGATTCTCAAATTCTTCAAATTAATTATTTACTATAATAGTTTCATTTTAATTTGATAATTCCTATAAAGGTTTTATATACTCCGAATCAGAGAAGACAGAAATTGAATAGTTAATAAATTGCTGAGAGTTTGAATGTTGAGAATATTATAGATTATTTTATTACTTTAAAAATCTCAGTTCCTTTTCAGTTTAAATAAAAGTATCATATAATCCTCGCCAACCCTTTTCAAAATTGATTTTATTTTTTTCAATACACTCATGTTACTTACTAATCCACTTTTCTAAAGTTTGATATTTCTCTTTGAAAGTCTTAGGTGATATTAAATTTTATTCAAATTATTAAGTCAGAACCTATTCTTATGATTTCTATTATTCTTAAACGATGAATTATCTCATTTTTATTAATTCATCCATCTAAGATCTATTAAAAACTGCATCAACTTTTTTGACGCAAATTAATGAAATGGTTCTTCTTCAAAAATCTATTCTTTCCCCTTTTTTGTTGAAGATTTAAGTATTTACTTAATTAACTTTTCAGAACACATAGCTTATTGAATTTCACTCATTACAATTGATTCTTATGAAAATTAAGGAACCTATATCTCTAATTTCTTAATTTAAAATTTGCTGAGGGAACAATCTTAAGAACATTAATAAGTGAATAGTTTCACTTCTTTAAGGACTTCATCAATAGTTTTCTCCTAAGCTTAACCCTCTAACTAAGAAATATAATTGAGAAGTTCTTGCCATTTCAACTTTTAATAAGCGACAAATTTATCAGAAATTTTAGGACTATTTTTTTGTTACAATTTCTCCTTTTTTTCAGATTCCAAATCTAAAATAAAATTGAGATCAGTTTAGTGGTTAAGTTGATTCAAAGTTTACTCCCTACCTTATTAAACTGATTGATTCTCTTTTTCAAATCGAAATAGGCTTCTGAAAGTTTCTTCGTTAAAAACTTCAGGTTTCTTATAATAGTACTATTCGAATTATAAATCCAAGATTTATTTTCTTGTAATAAATCCTCTCCAAACTTTCTAAATTTTAATTGCTGCTTAATGCATTATATTTTATTCATTTTCAAGAATGCCAAACTCTTTTAAATAATTTAATTCCTCTCTATTTAATATCAATTCTTCAATTAAAACTTGTTATTTTTTATTCGAAGTTGATTGAGAAGGCAACAAATTTTGATCTGTATCTGTTATATATTGTACACAACTACTCTCATCAAATAAAGCTTAAGATATTTTTGAATATCGAGCTTATAGTTATTTATACTTTTCCAACAATTCTCCTTCATAACCAGTGAGCTAAGTCGTATTTTCATTTTTACTCTTGGAACTTGAATTTCTTTAGGTGGCCTATTTCTTTTAAGGTATTGAAGATATACTCCTTTTTTTAGATCTCAATTATGATTTACTTTCTAAAATTATTTAAATTACTTTTACATTTCAAAATATTTCGACTATTTTGCAATTATTTTTTTATATCCTTTTTCCTCTTCGCTTATCCATTCTATTTAGACTACTGGTTTGATTATTTTTTCTACTTTAGATGTAACATATTATTAAATGTTTTTTTTGGGATACTCTGCTTGATTAGTTAAGGACCTTAATTTTTTTATACTATATACTAAGAGCAGAAACATACTTTGAAGAAGCAATTAAATATTTTTTTTTGGGATTTTGTTTAAGTATTCCAATCCTATCTCCTATCTTCTTTGAATTATCTTTAGCTTTTAGTCCCTCCTTACAAAATTATTGTTTTCAAAATTTGTTATTTTCTATATTTTGGAAACCTTCCGTTTCTCAACATTTTCTCGTTTCCCAATACTATACGAATCATTTGTGATTGTTACAGAAGTACCTCTCTTTTTAGAAAACTTATAAGGCGAGTTATGGGTTGTATTACTGATATGAGTAGTATTGGTTGTCTATGGATTTCTTAAAGGACTTCTCGATGATCTAAATTTTATATAAAGACATACTTTTTTTATCTCTTTTGTTGCATGCTTGAATATCGATAAGTAGGAAAACGATTTGATTACGTAATATAAATTAATTTGTATTTTTTGAAATAAATTATAACAACTACTCTGTTAATTTGCTTATGTATGTACATTCTTATAACATGAATGGAATTATTCATATGATAGTTTAGAGAATTACTATTACATATTTTAATTTAAATTTATGTAATCATCGCTATTTCCATAAATTAGAATGAACTATAGTTTTAAGTAAGGTGAGTTTAAATATATAATTGTAGACATTATGATATTAAATCAAAATCCTAATGCTAATCTCGATTATAGACTTATTTTAAGATTTATACAAATATTCATTAAAAATTAAAATAGTTATTCACAACTAATAAAATAAAAAATACAATAGTTATATATAAGTAACAGTATTATACTTAAAAGTGATGATTCACAATTAATATAAAAAGGTAAGAATATTTATGACAAATTGTTCAAGTGAAGTTTGAAAATTGAAAAATATATCAACTAATAAGTCTTTTGTTGTTGGTTGAAATTATAATAATAAAGTTTTTAGTTTTTTAATATATCAAAAAAAACCTTGCATTATTATTTGAAGTAGTTTGTTCTAAACTTCTTATCGGTAATTACTTTAGAATAAAATGAATAGATATTACTTAAAGAAAGTTTATTCTGATACTAAATTAATTTTGTAAAAATATATAAGAATGGATAAAAATTAAAATAAAAGAAATTTTAGTTGTTTATAAACTCATTCCTTTAATTATAAATTTTCTGACTATTAGTCCTCAGTAAAATGCTAGAGATTTTTGAATGAAATTTCTAATCCTGGGTTTGAGCCTATGGAATTTGAAGGCTAAAAGTCAGAGTCTTTTATGAAATCTATTAATGTTTCTTGCTTTTCTTGGGTGAACACCTAAGCACTTTTAGCTCTTCCATGACTCGCTTAAGGAGTAATTGAACAACTGATCAAAAGTTTAAAAATCTAATGATTGATTGAAATATTACTCTAATACAATCCATGTTTTGTTCCCCTATAATATCTTAGACTAATCCTTTTTCTTAATCTAACAACTTAATTGGATCACTATTTTACTCAAGTAGCTAATATGATTATTATATAGAATACTATTTTCATTTAATAAAATTTTTCGTTTCCCAGCTTTCGTTTAAGGAAGTCAGTTAATAGTAATGATCTATTAGGGGATGTAGGAGTATTAGGATTGAAAAATAAATCAACAAAAGTGAACGATTTTTAATTTTTTAATAGTGTAGGCTAGCTTTCAACTTCCTAATTTCTTTTATTATTATTATCATCAATTTAAGTATTAATAGAAATAGATTTTTAGTATTTTAGATGTTTTGAATTAACTTCATTAGATTCTGTTCTCTGAGTAGATATTGGAGTTTAGGCTTTTTATTGATCATCTATGTAATCTGGAAGAGTGTGTAAATTTGATGCTAATATTTTTCCATTCAATTTAAAATTTGGACTATTTTAATCAATAATATCTGTTTTATAGCCTTAATAGGGAGTGTTGAGTTTAGACTAGCTTCTTCTAGAAGAAATTGGTGATGAACCTTGTTATTATTTTGATTTTTCAACTAGAAAGTGTATAGAATTCTGTTGCATTCTGTTGCTTTTTTTACTGGATGAGAATCCATTATTTTAATAAGGAACTTTAGGAGGTTGATCAATTTTAGATAGTTTTTGCATTTCAATTTGAATTTAAGGGAATGAAAGGATTTTTGAAATTTCTGGTCTTTTTTCTGGTTGTTTTTATAACATTTCATCAATGAGATTTGACAAAAAATCGGAATAATGATCAGAGATTTTTGTATGTTACTCGTTAATAATTTTAGTTGCCAAAGCCTTTATTTAATATAGATTATATTACATTGATTGATTCAGCAGTAAATGGTTTTTGTAATGTACATAATTCATAAATGGCACATCCCAACATCCAGATGTCAATCTTATGATTATAGGACTGGTTTTGGCATAATTCAGGTGATAGGTAGAATGGGGTTCCTAAGTTATTCGTTTTCTATTAATTAATACCTATTGAAGTTTATGCCAATTCAGATGTGTTTTCTAAAGTTCTAGAGATACCAAAATCACCCAATTTCACCTTTTATATTTTAATAGTAATCTTACAATTCCATCATTGCAAAGGAATATGTTCTGAACTTTGATGTCTCTATGAAGTATCTTTTGAGAATGGAGATAATCGAGCGCTACTGCCAATTAGGTCAACCAGGCAAGAATCTATAATAATGCATAAATGAAATACAGAACTGTAGATTCTTGAATGAATTATTTGTTTTGTTTAGCTTCCTTCACTTTTAAACTGAGATCAGCTTGGATTATTTTTTCAAAATTTACCATTCTCGGCATATTCCATTAGAATACACAGTTTATTGTTGTGGACAAACGAATCATAATGTTTAATGATGTTCATATGGTCTAACGATTTGAGAACCTTAACTTCATTGAGAGGGTCAACCACAAAACTTTCTCTCAAACTCAAATCTACTCTTTTTAGTGCAAATTGCTGTAATTAGAAAGAGTCAACTTACTTTTCCATCACTTTTTCTTTATACCAAAAGAACATCCCCAAAATTCCCTTTACCAATTTTTCGAATTCTCTCAAAATGATCCATAATTCGTTAGATAAATTATTAAATATAATCATCTAATTTATTTTAGTTTAATTCCGTAATACTAATAATTTAATTGATTCGAGTAAGGAATTACTTCAAATACCCAATAAACACTTCATTTTTAATTATGTTAATGACCCTAATGAAAGACTCATAATTATAAAATTCTTCAATAAATTCTTTCTTATATTGAAATTATCGCGTAGTCAATTGATATTAAGTTAATTTTCTTGATTATTCTATTTTTTTTAAGAAGGAAACTTAATTTTATGAAGAAAATTACAAGATAGATTTTGTTAAATAACATTATTTTTATAAAGGAGTAAACAAGGATAGGGTTGATATGATATATCATGTAGAGTTGAAAAGCAGATGAGAAATTGTTTATTCTACGAAGGTTTTGAGACATAAATTTAATTAAATTCATCTATGCTAAGACATCGAAGAGAATACTCTATTGACCATTTGTATTTAAGCTTTTCTTTATAAAAATGGTTTTCCTTTAGGTTACGGAGGTTGACTTCCTGACGTACAAGTTGATTTTTAAGAATTGCGAGAGTCTGTGATAAAAGGATTTTGAAGTATTTTAATGCTTCCTCTTCCCCTTAATATAGTTGTGGAATGTTGACTAATTGATTTCTAGTCTGAAACTTTAGAAATCAGAGATTTTTACTGTATCTTGAGTGGTGGGACTTTTGGGTTGGCTTTAGAGTCTGAATTTGCCTTTTTTATTGAAATTTAATTGAAGATAGTGCAGAAATTGTTGTGAGTAATGTTAGTTTGGCTATTTCTCCTTTGGCATTACTTGAATAATGATTTTTATTAATATGAGTCCTCTTTTCTACTAAAAGTAGGAATCTCGAGATCAGGAGAACAAATAACTTCGTAAGTGCATTTTAATTTTGGTATTTTAAGTTTTGGGTTATGGAAGAAGGAAGCTGTCTGATCAAGATTATCTTGCATTATTTATTAATAAAATTTTACAAAATGATGTGCATATTTTATAATTAAATAATCTCAATTATATTGAATATATTGAATATGAATTCAATTATAACTAATATCTTTTATACATAGAACTCATTTAATTAATCATTCTAATTTTGGTATTTTGTTCCTACCAACATCTTATTCCTCCTCATCCTCATAATATGCCATTCTCATTTATTTAGCTTATATGCTTGTCATTCCAGAGATGACAGATTCACATTCACTTCTTAAAGGAGTGGCTGCCACTGATGATGTTTATTACCTTAATGGTGTTTGCATTCTACTAGGTCTTTATCCCAGAGTGGCTGTTCTTTCGCTAATTAATCTCCTCTCTCTATCCTCTTTCTCTCTCCTTCTCAAACACTCTTCACTCTTCATTTCATGTTCTCTCTTAGCTTTTTCAATGGACAACTCTATTTCTCTCTTACTCTTTTTTTCACTCTCAATACGAGAAGCTCTAGTCTCACCATCTTCTTTGATACTAAAAAACATGGGACCCATCTCAGCTAGCCATTGAGGATCAACAGCACTCACACAATGCATGTATTCTTTAGATGTCATAACCAATTCGTGATAAACAACATAATCAGGAGCATAACCTAGAGAATATAAAGCACTTGAAGGATGTAGTTTACATGGCATACCTGTACGTAAATTTATATAATCTCCAACACCTTTAATTTTGGCAGCATTCTAAAAATATGCTGAGCAAATAGCCTTTCTTACAACATCATATGAGAAATTACAAGTACTCATTTTTAATCCTAATTTACCTGCAATATCCTTTAATTAAGCTCTAACCTCTCTTACTTTTCTCATACTCTTTGCTTAAACAAAATGTTCATTACACCATTCAGGTGAAAATTCGTGTCTTTTCCATTACTCAAATACATTTAACATAGTTAAATGATCACTTTCTCCAACAAACAACTTCTCTCTAGCAGCATCACTTTCTGCTTCTCTATCTTTAGGTCTATAAAATATGCCTGGAACACTCAACATACTAACTACAGTTAGGATTTCTTCAGTGCATCCCAATTAATCTCCTTTGATTAACATTTTTGACAATGGTGGATCCAATGGAAATTCACTCATTTTTCTACCAAGTTCTGTTAGTTCACCAACATTATCCAACGCTCCCAACACCCACAATTGATACATAGCATTTAAAATTGTATCTTAAGGAGGAGGATCCATAAAATCAAAATCTAAAAGATTATTAATATTTAATGATTTCAATAATAACACAACATTAGCTAAATTAGTTCTTTGTATTTCAGGAATATTATTTTCCAACATATCTTATCTATAATTTAATGAGGAATACAATCTAAAACAAATACCAGGTCCAGTACGTCCAGCTCTACCCTTTCTTTAATCTGCATTAGCCTATGATATTGGAGTTACCTATAATGCATCCATACCAATTCTGGGATTATACACTTTCATTTTACAATATCCAGTATCAATCACATATTTTACACCATCCAAAGTTAGAGATGTCTCTGCTATATTAGTTGCCACAATACATTTTCTAAATTCACTTTTTTCAAAGATCCTTGCCTACTCTTCAGATCTTAATTATGAATATATTGGTAAAATTAAAAGGGGAGGAGTAGCTTCACTTAATTTGTTGAGCTCCTCAGCTAATAAATAACAAGTAGTTTCAATATCTTCTTGTCCTGTCATAAATATTAAAACATCTCCAGGAGGTTATTGAATATGAACTTCAATAGTTTTTTTGATTGCACTTCTCACATAATCTTAGGCAGGTGCTTTTTCGAATCTGACATCAACTGGAAAAGTTCTACCAGGTATTTTATAGATGGGCACTCCTCCAAAGAAATCGCTGAATTTCTTAGCATTCATTGTTGCAGATGTGATAACAATTCTAATGTCTCTTCTCCTTTATGCCACTTTCTTAAGAATTCCAAATAGAACATCAGTATTCAATGATCTTTCATGTGCTTCATCCATAATCACAGCAGAATATTTCTCAAGATCAGGATCTTACAAAGATTCTCTTAATAAGACACCATCTGTCATATATTTGATAACAGTATCTTTACTAGTATAATCTTCAAAACGAATGGCATATCCTACCTTACTACCTAATTCAACACCCATTTCTTCAGCTACTCTTTTAGCCACTGATACTGCTGCCACTCTCCTTGGTTAAGTACATCCGATAACACCAGTATTAGTATAACCTTCTTCATATAAATATTATGTCAATTAAGTAGTTTTACCTGATCCAGTTTCTCCTACAATAATACAAACTCTGTTATCGTGTAATAACTGAACTAATTCAGATCTACAGTGAAATACTGGTAAGTATTCTCTTTGTTCTTTGATTGTTTTATTTCTAGCAAAATCACTTTGTCCTTAAGTAACTCTTTAAAGGGCTGTTTAATATCTAGAAGATGCTTTGAAATCATAATCTCCATCCTCATTCAATAGATGTCTGTCTGGATCCATTTCTTTTTTTCTATCTAAGTTCATTACCTTTCCCATTTTTGATCCACTTAATTCCCAAAATCTCTCTCTCATTTTAGTTTTATCCTATTTCTCTCTCATCAACATTAAGACTTCAGATCCCTGCTTTGCCAGCTTAGCCATATCTGAATTAGGATCCTTGACAATTTAGACTTATGTCAATTAAGTTGTATAGACCACTTTGCCATCCAAAAAAGGAGGTTTGATATCATGTACATGTATGACAACTCTTTTTTCATTCTCTTCTTCATAAAAATCATAAGCATCTGCTTTTCTCTTGAAAACATCTGATGCAATCATACGATTGAGTTCCCATCTATTTTATTCTTAATTCTTTTCTGATTGTCTCACAGTTTAACCTTTACGTTTACTATATTCCTCAAATTTAAATTCCTCTTTCTAACCTTTAAAAACTTCACCTCCCCAATCTTATTAAGAAGCATTACCAATATCATCTTCATCATAATCGTACCATTTCCTATCTGATTCCTATTCTATGTTTTCCCATTCAAATGCTGTGTATTCATTAAGTAATTTATTGCGTTTCCTTTCCTCTTCCAACTTCTCTGAACGAGCAGGTGGCTTCTTAAATCCATCTGCATCCTCTTCAAATTAAGGTTGAGCATTTTTCATCACACTTGAATTCTCAGTACCTTTGAATAACATAGGGCCTGATGAGACTTTAAATTAGCTGCTTACTGAAGATGAACTTCGATATAGAGATTCCCTGTACAAAGGAGCCTGTCTACCTTTGCTATCATCTCTAGAACGACTTTCCCTGTCCATACTTCTATTTCAATTAAAAAATTTATATTATTTTTCACTATAACCTTCAGGAATAAACATTAGATTTGTAGTTGCGAGTATGGTCGTCGTATGGCATTCTATTTTTGGATATACTCTTAAATAGCTTCTTTGCTTAGACTTAATATGGAAATATGATATTTTTAGATTTTATGTTATTTAACAATTAGATCTGCCAATAATAAGGAATTGCATACTTGTACTTGATTTTTATATCATAATTCAATCTCAACTTGATAATAGCGATAAAATAATTACAAATAAAGTAAAATTATTATGTTAAATAATTATATGAACCCTCGAATGATGCTCAACAACAGAGGGCAACAGCCTCAACAGCCAAATGGTCTTAGAAATGATTATTAAAGCGTGGTTTAAGTATATAGTGCAATAATTGTTAAAAGGGCATATAATCTTTGATGGGAATCTCATTCTCAACTATTTAATTGTGTATATTTGGTTCAATGCTTATGGAGAAAACGAAAAAGCTGTTAGAATTCATTAAATCTGGAGCTGTCACTTCACTTAATAAACTGTTGACATTGCTTCGGATCAAGTAATTTCTTAAAGGGGAATTGACTATGACATAGATAGGTAAATCAGTAGTAAACACTAGTACTTAGATTGGTAAGTAATGGATAATTGCTATACGTTTGCTTTTGTTAGTTGGTATTCTTAAATTAAATATGCAGTCATTCTATTGATTGGTGCGTTGTTGACACATATGAAGAGGAAAATGAGAGAAAAATAAGAAACCGAAGTTGAACAAAAGTAATCGGATACTGAAGAGACAGAAGAATAGTAATAGCTAGATACTCAAGCAGAAACATCTCAATTACCAATTTAATAGAGTGATTTCTGGAATCATATTGAAGAAAATCAACCTTCGAATTAAGAATAATAGACTTAATAATAGCAATAGCCAAGCACTGTCCAATCAATTAACTATCTGAATGATCTCCCAGGATTTTCCACAACTGGTAATCCAAGTAAGCCATGGATGAAATGACCATTCTTATTATTTAATATATATAATTAATATCATAAATATTCAAACATTAGTAAAGTTATTTCCTTGGGTACCAATGATATTTTAATTTGATTAATAAGTACATCTATAAAGAGAACAAATACGATTAATTAGTGAAAATATGAGTCCTATTTTAATGATTTAAAGATACATTATTTTAAAGATATAAATTTATTCATATGAAAGTATATAATTTCTATTATTAATTTACTAATGTGAATCAAATGGATAATAAAAAATAAGAAAGATAATTAAGATTAGTAGATTTTTTGGATAATTATCAAATAAAAAATATTTGATGGTTAATTTAAAGCTACCAAGATCAACCAATTATGGAACTGTCAAATCGAACATAATTTGTTTTAAATTTTTACTAAAACTCATTAGGACTCTCCGATTATGGTAAAGATATTATTAATTGGTTAACTTGTAAAATAGAGTTAAAGCTTAAAATTTAAAATATGAAAAACAATGGATTCGTAATTTTAAAAATTAGAGAAGACGGTTAAAAAGAGTAGCAAATTCAACCTCATAAATCTTCTTTCAATATATTCTATATCTTTTATCTTTCTCTTAATATAACCCATTAAATTTGATCTTATGAGAGAAATTCTAGGCAGTCTTAAATTTACTCTCTTTTTAATAATTTAATTAGGATAGGGAGGACGACTTCATCAATATCTTTAGATAAAGCCAAAACCCCATACAAATCTTCATCTTCCACTTTATCGAATTCATTATCTTTTTTTTAATGATATTGAATTTCTATTGCTTTATTTTAAGTCTGTCATGAAAAACACAAAAGTATCTTGCACATTTTTAATAGGAAAAAATCAAATGTTATTGGTTATAATAAATTATTAACAAGAACACCACACAATCACTAAGGTTTCTAAGTCAAAAAATGATCTATATCAAAGTTTCGCCACATTAATCATACAACTTCATAATTCAATTTATAGCTCTATATATTTTAATAAAATGTTAGTTTTAACCAATTATCAAAATATTTCTTTCAAAGAAATTATTCTTTTTTATGAATATATTTTTCTATATAAATTACAACTACCTCTCCTTTGATTAAAAAAATAAAAAGGGCAATTAAATATTCTACTGATATACCCATAAAAAATGAATTTTCACAATTTAAAACGATTTAATAATTGAATATATCTATTCTTTAAAATTTTTTTGTATTTATTATTATTTTTTCAATGATTTCAATTATTGAAGAAAATTCTTTGCTCCAAACCCGATGATGAAAAATTCCTCTTAAAATAATTGTACGAATATTTCTCATTTACTATAAAAAAACATATGTAAAGAAATAAAGCCTAAGTTATTGATTGATAATTATAGTAAAAATTCATATTGAATATTTCTCTTTTTAAGTGCCCCTCTAGATCTGCCAGTCACTACAATGAATCTAGACCAAAGAGAGAATTAATATCAATAAATTTTTACTCTGATAAAGTATTATGAAACAAATAAAAAAGTCTAAATTTAAAGCACAAATACATATATTAATCCTTTAGTATTAGAATAAAATGGAATTAGAATATAATCAAGTATAAAATAATAATATGAATAAATTTATGATTAAAAAGCATTTACAATTCTACTCAGTTGAGAAATGGTTCGAGATTTATTATAACACAATAAAATTCGAGTGATATAATTTTAAAGTTAATGAAAGAACTATTAATTATCTATTAGAGATTATTTATGGTCTTTCTTATTTTAAAAACCAAATTGAAATAGTAAGGGGATCTAAAATTAGTTAAAATCACAAGCGAAGTGATCTTGAATTAAAATATATTTGTTGGTAATCAGAGAATATCAATTTAAAAATTTATGTTTTTACAAATATAATCCATCTTTTTGAGTGTTTGTTGTGCAACTTAAATTTACCAAAAAACATTTGAAACTGTATTTATGGAGTTTAGTTACAAATTAGACTCATCTAAGGCATACATGATATAAGTAAATGAAAAGGGCTAATATTAGTTGACAATAAAAAAATTCCCAGATGACCAATCCTGTCTTCCTTACTTAGAGGTTAATTCAACCTCCAGTGATGTTACTGAAACTCTGTATGATGAATAAGGATATGCAACAAAATCAAAAGTCTAATCGATCTCTGTTTAGAGTGATTAGATTCAAATATCAGTTTCTAATAAAAAGTTAACTTTCATACCTGAATCTAATCTTAGCCAAGTAATATAATTTACAATAACAATAATCGATTCAGTATTAAATTCTCAAAATATAAAATAGCCTCCTGAAAAGTTGGTTTGCAATTTTCCTTCATATGGTTTGGATTGCCAGTAGAACATGGAAGAAATTGAAACAGAATATTCAACGACTTTGATCGTGCCGAAATATTCTTGGAACTACGTATATTATATATTGGATAACTATGATTATAAAGTAAAATAAAATAAACAATTTAGATCGAAGCAGAAAGTGATTGGGCTTCATTTGTCGTAGCTCTCTTGCCAATAGATAAGGCGAACACAACAATATTACCCTCATTTTAATCTAATTTGATCTTACTTAGCTCAAATGGGGATAGTAAAGAAGTGAAATTGCTAAGACCGGCAGAAATTTCATCCTATATTTTTGCAATTGGAGTCTACAACCTTGATGACGATGCAGCTATTACATTGACACTACATTAACAATCTGAAGGCGAAGAAGATTCATTCCCCTTGTGGGCCATCCTAACCATCGTGGGAGTGTTTATCTTGGGAATTCTAATTTCTATTTTTATAATTTGTCAAATCAGAAAACAAGCCAAAGTATATGAAGAATAGCCTAAAATCTCACTTGACGTTTTAGACAAATACATGCCTATAAAACCAGTGCCAAAACATCAACTTACTGAAACTTGTTGTGTTTGTTTAGTCTAATTCTTAAAGCGAGATCAAACCAGAGAGACTCCTTGCAAACATTACTTCCATACAAATTGTTTAAGGGATTGGACTAAGAAGAATACAACATGTCCAGTATGTCGATAAGAATTAGGAGAGGCAGATATTTAAAAATATTTGTGTTTAAGTCAAATGACTCATAAGAATGAAATAGATAATTCCAATTCTCATTAAGGTGAGCTGCCTAAAATACCTCTTACTCAACTTAGAATCAGTGATCATGATATCAATACTAGAGGCCTCATTATTATTGACAATTCACCTTCTAATTAACATTCTCATTCCGACAGGTTGAGTCTAAATTTAATCGAGGATTAAATTGTCGAGAATTGAATATAAATATTTATAATATAATTAATTCTATTCCTTATTAAATTCACTGTATATTCTTCAATTTACTAGAGCAATTCCTGAATTAAAATAAGATTATGATTTAATATGTAAATTTTAGTCTAAGAATAACCTTGTATATAAGAAACAATAATCTGAAAATAATTAATATTAGGCAACATTAGTATTGAACCATATAGTAACTGAATTTGAAATTTTGTTAAAACTAAAATGCTAAAACAGTATAAAATAATATGGTATTAGATCATATCATCCATTTTATATAAGAATATGATAATATAAGTTTAGATTTCAGAAGTAACCTCATAGATCAAAATATATGTTGTTAATTAACTCATGGTTATAATCATTTTAGCCTTAAGATGAAAATAGAACTTCAATTCACTAATACTATTCAATTAAAAAATGAAATCAGTTCTATGATCAAAGAATTATTAGAAATATTACTAATATTATAAATTATGTTAGAGTAGGATCCTTAAGAAAATTATATATACCAGATTTTGGAGAAAGTAGAATTACATTATTAGATAACAAGCTCTCATTTTTATGATTAGTAGTCTTTCTAGTTTACTGAACTAAAAATTGACTAAATGTTTATTTTTTAAATTAGTAAGATAGGAAATAAACATGATGTATTGTTGATTTATGCCTCACTGGTCTAACACTTGACTAAAACATTTTTTTGCTTTAAATCTGGAATGATTATATTTAATATATTATTGATATAATAATAAGTTAATTATGATAATTCGTGTAATTAAAAGCATCGAAAACCATTGATAATTATTATAATTAATCAACAATCAAGATATCATGATCAGATATGGGGTGACAATCAATGATTACGAAACTAGAAACGATGTTATTTATTATACAATTCACGTTAATGATTAAAAGGCTATCAAGGCATTATAGAAGCGATATTCGGATTTGAAAGCTTTAAACCAAAAAATATATTAGAAAAATAATGAGTTCAAGTTGAAATTATCACTTCCCAGATTTCCAAGAAAGAAAATGTTTGGAAGAACAAAAAATTCTTAAAGTGACATTAAGACGAGAGTATTTAAATTCTAAAATTCTTAGGGTTTAGAATTACAGTAATATTTAGAAATCATCCTTAATATTCCTACTTTATGGTCATTTTAATTTTTCAGAGAATTTTTGCCTCAAGCAGAATTACTAGATGAAACATTTAGATTAGAATAAATTAATACTGAATATTCAAAAGATTTGTGTTGGTTGCAAATGGATGAATTAAAAAAATCATTCCTCTAAAGGCAAGAGCAGTTTTAGTCAAATAAAAAAAATAAATAGAAAGGGAAAGAAATCTCAGGGTATTATCAGAGATTCCACTTTACAATCAATGAATTTGCTATTCAAAATGATTTTGTGCTTTATTTCATCATCTTAACAGACACCAAAAAAACTACTAAATATAGGTTCGAAGCCAGGTATAGCAATCTTCGGGATTGTCATCATTTATTAGAAAAATAATAATTTAAGAATAGTCTATTTCATTTCCCTAAAAGGAGATTAATAGGATAGACAAGGGATAATCCACAACTAATTTAAGAAAGACAAGAATAATTATAAAGATATTTAAATTAGACATTTAGTGTTTAAGAATTCGTCGAAAGTGAACCTTTGGTGTATTTCATAACAAAAATCAAACTAGAGGGCAAGCCCATAAAATAAAATTTAAATGAAAGAGTAAGTCAGCTTTCATAGTAAGTGATTGGATCTTCGTTTAATTTAAGTTAAGGAATTGAAGAAATACGTGAATAGAAATCATGTTGATATATTCGAGCTAAACAATATTGTTTATGTTAATTTGTTAATTAAATCTCATATATTATTTAAATTAAAAATTAATACCTAATAACTATTAATGTTTTAAATTATTAGTCTTTAATAATAATAAAATACATAGTTACAATTATAATCTATAATTATTTAAATTAACCTTGGAATTAGAGTAGAACCAGCTCTTTCATAGTAATAGACTGTGTTGTAAGGGCGAAGTGGTAACATTTGATATCTGTGGGTCAGATATGAAAAGATATTTGATAAATCATTTTTATGATTTTATCATAATATCAATGAAACAAATCGTTTATTTGAGAGTTTATGAAAATAAATAAATGCTCTTTCAAATAAACTTTATGAATTTGATATATTCAGAAATAATAATGATGCAAGAGATTCTAGGAGAAGAAGTTTGAAAAGAATCACCTAAAAATAAGTTTAAGCTTTATAAACACTATATAACTTAATCACCAATTTAGAGGTAGTTATATCAATTAGCCAGAAAATTAAAGAAGTAATTACAAAACATAAACAAAACTAAAGTAAAACACCCTTAATATTAATAAACCACAAAATGTAACAAAACCTATTTATCAAAGTCCAATTAAACTCTTTAATTAAACCCAAATAGTTTGATTTAAGTTGAAAGAATTCTATAATATAAAACTTAAGACTAATACTAAATTTTAAATATTTATATTATAAATATAATTTATGAATTAAGAAGACAAGGAAAAAATAGTTGTTTGCGGAGTAAATTCAGACATCTAATTGGAAGGCATAGAGTTATCTATTGTTGATTTTTTCTATTCAAGTAAGGACTAATGGTCGATGAATGAAAAGTATTTTAAAAAGTTTGCATATCCTGAAGAATTAAGAAAAAAAATAATTACAACAATAAAGGAGTATTCTAAAAAAAATCAGGAAAAGTATGATGATAAATTGTATATTGAATTGGAGACTGAGTATGGGGATTTTATAAATTAAATATTGAAAGAAGTAGAAAATGAAATTCGAAGTAATTCTGTTACTTTATATGCTTTTAATACGCTTCTTATACAATTAATAGAAAATGATGGTCAAAAGCCAAAATCAGCAGTATTTTTGAGTAAGTTTTGCCAATAAATTGCCAATTAATACAAATAAAGAGTAATTTGTAACTTCTTTGCATATGATTTTTATTTGAAAGGTAATGGAGGACCTTTTCAAATTATTGGCTAAGCAAAATTATTGGAGCAGTAGGATGCGTTATTGAATTTATCAGGTTTTGCATCATATACCTAATATAAAAATAAGGAGGAATAAGACACCTATTTTGGAGATTTTATTTGTCCTGCCATGTTTGCTCTAAATTATGCATCAAATTGGAAAAAAGAAGTCTAAAATTAAGCATTCTAGGATAAACAAATTAACGAAGAATTTCTGAAACAATTAAAAAGTTCAGATAAATTCAAGTATACAATTCTGTCCTTGGGTAATTTAATGGATTTAATTGATCGGTAATAGACAACCCCAGTGGTAAAGGTTGCAACATTAAAATAATATATCTGTTAAGAAATTCAATCTTATTTATCGAATATTAAATAGTAAGGCAAGGTATTTGTGGGGGGCACTTTTTCTGAGGAATTATTTAAATATTTATAATAGGAAATAAAATAAATAGAACTTTAAAAATCCTAAGACTATGAAAAGATCGATTCATTCATTGTTGGATTCATGGCTGTGAGAAAAAATAAACAATTATTGAATGTATTCAAGGGAGTTACCAAGGCTACAAGTGATCATTGTAGTGGAATTATTTATATTGAAACTGATAAGCCTATAACAATCCTAAAACAACCAGAAGTTAAAAAGCCACCTTAAGTTTAGAAATAAAGGTTGGATCATTCTGAAGATTTTGACATTGAACTACAATTTTCTGATCAGGTCTAGAATATAAAGTCTTATTAAACAAAATCACAAAACAAGAAATGATTAATTTTTAATATTAAATTTAAAATTTGAAAAATGTAAGAACTATTGGCTTAAAAATACGCTGAATTATCATAAAACACACTAGATAATGTCGATTTTTCTAAAGCAGGTACCTTTAAATTCTATTCTGTAGAGGAATTGTATAAAGAAATATTAAAAAATTTGAATGAAGATCTATCGATTGAACAAATAAAACAATTGGGATAACAATTTGTAAATAGTAGAATTATAATTTAGCTGGAATTTCTATAAGTATTATAATAGGATGAATTTATTTAAAGAAAAAGAGCAAAGGAGGAAACATAGGAAAAGGATTAATTATTGCATAAGGAATATCCACAATTATAAGATAAATTATTAAAATTAAAATAAAATTGCCAAGATATAGATTAGAGTGCAAAAAAAATAAATGAGACACTTAAAAAATTACCAGAAATAGAAGAAGCTAATAGAAAATCAATGAAAGATAAATTTTATGAAGATGTAAAAGATGTTAAAGATAAGATTCAACAAGAAGAGATTGACGCATAAAAATTTGCTGAAGAAAACTTAAAGTATATATGTATGAGTATAATATAGGATTCGTGAAGATATGCAAGCATTAATTGCATAATACGAATAAAAAGAAAAGGAATTCTGGGAAAAGGTTAAATAGAATGAAGAAGAACAAAAAAACGATACTAAGAAATATATGGAATAATTCGAAAAAATGCAGGGTGATGCTTAAAAGGCCATGCAAGAAAAATAATTAATTTAAGATGCATAAAAGTAATTGAATGATAAAAAAATGAAATTATAAGTATACAAAGGAAAACAAAATGAATTTATTGAAACATTTGAGAAATCAACTAGCACATTTTAAAGTTTAACAGTGGAGTTCCTTAAATTAGCCTTTAAGGCCAAGGAGGATGAAGAAAAAAGTAACTTAAATTAATAAAGAGCTGATAAAGCTAATTTATTAGCAGTAGAAATTGCATAAAAAGTATTGCTTATAATCATATTTTAAAGAATGCTGATTTAAAATTATAAATAGAAAATGTTGAAAAAGAAAAAGATAAATTAAGAGCAGAAATCTTAGAACTTAATAATCAAAAAAAGCTATAAAGTCAAAATTAATAACAATAAAAATCTAATGGTGAAAATTGATTTATTTTGGGCAATTAAACATAAAAATAATCATTCATTTTTTTATTTTAATTTTTCAATTGTCTTTCTTCTTATTATTTACAATCCAAAAATTTTAAGGACTCCAAAACCAAACAATATCATGAAAATTAATAGAATAATACATATTGTCAATGCTTTCACTACTTATTAGAATAATAACATAGAGAAAAAAGCATTTATTTTATTGCTAAAATTCCAAAAGTATTTAAAAATTACAGGTGTAGATTCAATGTCCTCACATTTAACTGAAGTTGTTTTATTAAAGCCAACTTAATATAATAATGAAGTTTCATTATAAATGGATATTTTCTTCTCATCAACGTCTATAATTGCATAGTTTTTATCAGCAAATCTTTCATAATATTATGAAAATGTGTCTGGCTAAAACAATTCTGCAAAAAATTCAAAAAGACCCCTGAGTATATTCCTATAATGAGATCCATATGATAATCCTGATGAACAAACTTCAATTATATTAGTACATGGATCTTATAAAATTTCGGCAAAGTGGACATCTCCTGTTATTAGTAAAGCATTTTTCCCTTTTAATATTTGTAGTAGTTTGTTTCTGCTTGATTGGTACCATACATCAATAAATAACCTCTAGTTATAGTTGAATTTATACATCATTTGGCAAAATTTATGATCCACTTCCTATGATGAATTAACCAATTTCTACATCCTTTAGTTCATTTTCTAACCAAATCCACTAATTTTCACCTAAAACATCTTATGTTTCTGGGTTTCTATTCCATCTTACATCCAAAAGTATTATCTTTGTATTTTTTAATTTGAAGGAATAATAAATTCCATCTTTATTGACTCTTCTCTCATCATCTTTTCCTACATCTAAAAAATTTAAGTATAATTGTCTAGTCATTTCCTTTGCTGGATTTGAATAAATTCCATCTCTTTCATTATAATCGTGATCATCCCATACACCATCAATTTGAGTAGCATTTAACAATTTTTAGTAACCAGGGTTATGTTTTGTAAGATTAAATTTGTATTCAACTATTGTTTCATTCAATTCAGACATTCTTCTATTTTAGCTTGTTTTAGAAGTCACATAGGCAGCATCTCCTAACCAGACAAAAGTATCCTATTATGTATAATTATTTTGATATACTGGCTTATGTTTGGCTATCTCAAAAAAGATTAGTGATTCTGCATCCTCATAGGTAAAACATGAACCAAAAGCAATTTTTTATGATTTAATCTAATCAAAAAAAAATAGGATTAGTATAAAATACATTCAATATAATTTAATTAAATCCAAACATCTAGAAGCTATTCATAAAATTGACGTGTTTGTCCAATAATTAAAAAACCATATTAAAATGTATAATAGGATATTCACAAAATATTCATTATTGAGTTCTCGAAGTAATAAATATTAAAAATAAATATAGTTTATTAAATTCAATAAGAAAAAGCATTGTTTAATAATCACAGGACCTACCTAAAAATACAATCGTTATACTTTGTCTCAATTCTCTATTTTTTATCGTCTCATGTGAAGATGCACAATGAATATTGAAGAGCTAATTATTTAATTAAATACATCTGATGACTCAATTAATTATTATAAGAAAGAATAAAGTTCAAGAAAGCTAACAGAAGTATTGTAAAATATAAAATTATTGAATGCGATTAAAGAAAATTTACAAAAAATTCTAATTCTAAATCAAAAGGAATTATTAAAGATTAATTAGAGATAGACTATAGATATTTAATTTCAATTGATGGATCTGAGTTTATAAATTTGAATCGGTAGTATATGTTTTAAAAATCCTCACATTTAAGATAGTAGTATAAGTAAGTAAAATCAAAATTAATGAAAAATAAAATTATATATGTGTAGCTCTTATACACATATAAAAGGATGGAAGGTCTTTTGAGCACTGAAAATATTATAAATGATTAATTTAAAACTACAATTTTATATTTTTTATTGCTATTATAACCTTAATAATTAAAAGAAACGTGGTCTTGGTCTGGTGGCTCATAAAATTAAAAGTTCATTATAAATTTAGGGCTATAAAAAGATTATACTCTGCCAATTATTTTTATCCTATTCTTATAGTCAGTTTAGTTTGGTTAAGTAATTTTGGATATAATCACATTTGAATAATATCAATATTAAAAATCATATTTGATTATCGCATAAGCATCAATAGTACTTTAGGCAAATAAACTACAATTTAACGTATTTCTAATCCTTTTATATTATTACGAATCAAAGTCATTACAAACTAACATTATTTTTGAAAAATGGCAATTGATTGAATTATTATTCCAAATTAATAAAGATTTCCTTCTAATGCATCAAAATCTATTATATAGTTATGCGTATATTCAAGTTCTAAGATAAGTCAGTATAATTATGCTTACAACTAAATACAATTTAAAAAATTATGTATTTGAAATTATAATATTTTATACTTTCTTTTCTGGATTAAAATTTAAGACTAATTTGTTTAGAAATACAGAGTTAATTTATACCAATATTTTAAAGTATTATACATTACAAAATAGTTAAGACTTTAATTCAAAAGTTAGATAAAACTATTTTATAGGTGTAAGTTCAAAATTAATTCTTTTAAATTAGGAAACTGTATACCTTATTTTTATAATATTTAATTTATCAATATTAGTTTGCAACTGAGTTTAAAGATATTGAATAAATTTATGTAGTAGTCTTTTTTCACATCAAAAACTAAATTCAAATATTAATGAATGATTCTTTAAACAAAAATAAATTATGAATAGATTTATTAGATTAATATAGTAAACTAATATTAATTCATTCAGTTAATTTAGCCAAAACTCTTGAAAGAGAATTAATTAAAGAATGATAACTAATAATTATTATCAATATGAATAATCTATTTAATTAAATGGTTGAAATAATGATTAAAAAATTAAAGAAATGCCTTAATTTAATATTATATGTGTAAGTAAATAATTTAATTCTTTGATTACGAAATTTTTCCAAATACTTACTTAAATAAAACAAATTTAAATGGCTTATAATTCTAAATTAAAAAATAATTAAGAATGAATGAAGATATAATAAAGTTGCTATTATAAAAAATTTATTGTGGTTTTATAACTAATGTATACTTCTGTTTATAATTAATTAGAATACATGAAAAGATGAGATATAAAAATAATTATAATTAATGGTATTTTAATGTTGTGTTGCATGTGGAAGGAAATCAGAAGGATTAGTGAAATTGCTTCCTCATTTCAAATCCTCCAGGGATTACGAGTATATCCATAAAAAGTGCCTATTATTTTACAAATCTGATTGGAATAATCGGTTGGCAGTCAATGATAAATTATTTTACAAGGATTACTTGCAACATTGTTCAATATGTGGGAAAAAAAACTATAAATAAGTTGTTCATTGTTCACAGAGGTATAATTAGAATGTGTAATTCGTAAAAGTTTATGTCAAAAGAGCTTTCACTTTGATTGTGTAGACAACCCTATAATATCTAAGACTGAAGAGAATGGTCACCGCCCTCCTTAGTTATTGATATTTTGCTCATACCATGATTCAATCTAAAATGTTGTTACTGATTTAGATGAAGCAGTGAATTCCCTATATAACTCTTACTTAGTTTAGAAGGAATAATAGGAAGAACCACATTCGCATCATAGATCTAAGCATAAAAAGAAGCACAAAAAGAAGCATTCCCACAAAAGATCTCGTTCCCACAGAAAAAAATCAAGGCGTTCCAGCAAAAATTTGAAGTTTAGCGATGGAGAAGAGTCGGAATCAAAAAAATCGATTTCCGAAATCATCAAGCCGATGTAGACTAATAAAAGTCTTCTAGTTATTCAGAAAAACATAATAACTAATGATTTGATCTGTCAAGCCTATTCAAGTAAACTGTAGAGCAAGCCTTAGATAGAGATAGAGTCTAAGGCACCAAAGACATTAAATTATGAAATTCAACATTAAAATCATTAATAATAGTAACAAATCAAGCCTTAGATATTACCTTAAATATAATAGCCATTACAACAATAATAGATATAAAAAGAGAATCAGAAGAACATAATTATTAAATAATAAATATTTCCTTAGATAACTAAAATTTCTGTGGAAGATCCAGAATTTCCAAGGTAAGAGAGAGAAACAAAGAGAGATTAATCTATTGCAAAATGGTGGGACAAGATAGAAGAAGTGTTTTTTAAAGGGGAAAAATAAATGCCTTTAACTAAATAAGAAGAGTTCGAAAATTCATTTTAATGGCATGAACAACCTTTAGATTAGGAGCTTTTAGATATTTCAGATGCGAGTAATTTTGGTATTGTTTTAATTTATGGATAGAACCAATAATTTAGTTAAGATATCTTTATAGAGACTCCATGAATGTTGTTTTTCGAACTTCACAATCTTCCTATTAGTACACTAATTGTAAAACAATCTTTTAGATTCATACGATATAATCTCACTGATTAAATTGGTCGAACGAATACCAAAGGATAGATCCTAACAAATCTAAGACTTTATAGATATCCATCAGAAAGTGTCCCTTTTTAAAGAAATTCGTAAATTTCTGAAAATGAAGTAAAAATATAAATTTGCTAAAAAGGAGCCAGTAGGAAAAAGTCTTATTTTTCATGAATCCTGCGAATTAAGCCAGGAGGATTTCGATCAATGCTTAATATTGGAAGATAAAATAAAATCATAATACTAACTTTTAGAATTGTAATTGGATATTGAAAATGAGACAGTCGAATAATTTGATATCGTATATCATGCATTAAAGGAAGATTTGAACGAAGTAGTTTAGCAAAATAATTAAATGAGAGAAAATATAAACAACTAAATAATCACTACTAAAGATCAATAGACAATGAAGACACTCAAGAAAAAACAATAAATGATTATGGATTTATTAAAATGGTCACAGATTGTCAAAGCCTTTATTAATGGATATAAGGACAAGCAGAAGGATATTCTAAATACATTTTACCCTTGTTTAAATTTAGATTCTCAATCCTCATAAAAAGCCTAGTTAAAAAAGAAGAAAATTCATTCCAAAGAAAATTCAAAACCACTTGATACTGACTGCAAGATATGCTTTGATTATCATTATACAGATTTTAATCCAGTTATCTATTGTGGTAGATGCTCAACATCATTCCATAAAATTTGTTATTGTTTTATAGGAAATCTTGATGAATAAGATGTCCTTTGTGATGCATGTTTATTTGAATAAAACAAATCAGGTACAACAAAAAGGAGTAATATATTATTTTATTTCAGATCCAGCAAAATGTAGGATTTGCAAAAAATTAGGGCTTCCTTAAAAACAAATTGATAATCAATTTTATCATGTTTCGTGCTTATTACTAACAAATTTAGTCATTATAAAAAAAGGCGTTTATAAAGTGAGAAATAGTAAGAGTGATATTAAGTAATTCTGTAAGGACAATGAAACAAGTACTCCTTAATGTGCTATTTGTGGCGATGACAAGGGTATTGATTTTTTCATTATAGGATTTCGATTTACTTGTTTTGGCAATGAAACAATCCCTTGTAGACATGCATTCCATCCTTTATGTGCTTACCTTCATGGACTAACAATTGATATAGAGAGTGAAGACATAGAAAAATGTTTTGCAGAACAAAAGTTTGGATAATTGAATGTTCGAATTTAATGTGTGTTACATTGTGGAAAAGATTTACAAGATTTATTACTTCAAACTTATTATAGGTAATCCTTATTGACAAATATGTTTAGACGATTTGCATTAAATTATGAATCAGCAGCTTAATGTGGAGGCTAAGATGTATTTTTAGAATAATTTAAAACAACAAAAGGATATAAATATTTATACTCAAAGTAACCAATATCGAAGAATGACACTTTATAATCATAAATACATAATTTGAATGGAACAACAACATTGATGTGAGTAGTATTAAAATTAAAATTATTTAATTAATGGAAGATCAACTTCTTTCTTTATTCACATTCATTTTGATTAATTAATGTATTTTTATTATTTATTCGCATAACTAAAATGAATTTGTTGTTTCTTTTTTCGATAATTTGTTTATTCTATAAAATGATAAGATAATAAAATTTAAAGATTTTATGCATGATGCAGTTCTCCTAATAGAAAATATTAGAGGAAATTTTATTATTCCATATATTCAAGAAAGTTTAAATGTTTTAACGATACTTCTTAAAATTATTTATTATATAAATCATTTCGCTGAATATAGGTTGTTATTGGTATTCTCTGGAATTTATGGAAAATATGATTTTCCATTTTTATTAGTATTTTTCAGTATTTATCCCAATAATATGATTTTTTTGATGAATTATTTAATAAATGTAATATTTTGTTCCGCAATGCCACATTGTTATAGAATAAGCGGTTTTGAGAGAAAACTATGAGTTTGGATAGGTCTAACTAAAAGAAGTGCAGTTGGCTTAGTTATATAAATATGCAACGCATCATCATTCCCATCATCATAATAATTATATTCTAGCGTAAAATCTGATTAAAGAGTTGATTTGCCACTTCAGAGACTAAAAAATGTATAGATTTTTAATAGAGTAATATATAATTTCACAATTTAGGTTGGTTTAAAAGTTAATAACTAAAGCAGACATTATATAATACTCAAATAGAAATGCTATAGCTTTGAAACCACACCTTGCTAGCCAAATAGCTTCTCTAGAGTATGCAGCTAATACTATTAATAATTTTCCACAACTTATTGCATTACGAGATATAATATTAGGGTATTTTTCAACGACCTTCCAGACACCTCCTTTTATAATAAACTAGTATCTTATAGATCTATTTAATGAGCAATTCATTAAAGACATCTATTTGACATAGTTTAACCAAGTACATTAAGTTCAGCTTATCACTTATGGGCATCATTATACACCTAATTATTCATCCTTCACTTTTTATCTATAAGATGATGATATTTACTCTCAGGTTCAACCTCAAATAAATACTGTTGTAACTTCATAATACAATTATCAATAACCACCTTAAAATCCTTATTAATCATACCCAACAAATCAACAACAATTGAACATGACCGATTCATAATATTAAAAATATTAATCCCAACAAACTTCATATTAATAATAATAGCCATAATAGATAACTTACAACAATTATAACAATTAGAGTACCTATGTTCAACCTTCAAATCCATATTAGAGTGTTCCTTAACCGTAAATATTAGGTTATTTGAACAATAATTAAAATTAAGCCAATCCATACTCTTCTCCTCCATAGCCATCAATAGTGGGATACTAATAGACGTCAACTTACAATTATAACAATTAAACAACAGCTCAAACATAATAGTACTAAGCAGTCCCACCTTAGTCAGCTCTAAATTAAGGTTAACCAAATTATTAAACTCAACCTTCAGGATATTAAAATTCCACTTAGCCACCAGGATATTAAAATCCCTCATAAATCCCAGGATATTAAAACCCCTTATAATCCCCTGGATATTAAGATCCCTCATAAATCCCAGGATATTAAAATCCCTTATAATCCCCTGGATATTAAGATCCCTCTTAAATCCCAGGATATTAAAATCCCTCATAATCTCCAGGATACTAAGATCCATCTTAAATCCCAGGATATTAAAATCCATTATAATCCCCAGGATATTAAAATACATCTTAATCTCCAGGATATTAAAATAACTCTTAACTTCCAGGATATTAAAATATGTCCTAACCTCCAGGTTATTAAAATTCCTCTTTACCTAATCATCCTAAATAGATTGCTTAATTTCCTCCTACTCAAGGATATTAATATAGTCTTCAAAATAACTAAGATTATTAAAGCTAGTAAAATTAAGTTTATCCTAATTAAATATCACCCTCCTATCCAATATCAAATTTTAACAATGATCCAAAATAACCAGTTGAATAATAAAATAATTATAACACAAATCCAAATTAACAGTAGAACCCACAATATCAATAGCCTCCTCCATATTCTTAAGGTTAGGCTTAATCATATGAATCAAAATAATTGGCTACAACCTAAGTTGCATAAAATGTTGCCCAAGCTCCAGATCAAACTAAAGAATAATATTAGGGTAATCTAGATCAAAATAATTAAAATATCCAAGCTCAATTAGTTAAACAAAATTCAAATGTCTAATAACCAATTCCAGATCTAAGATAGGCTACATCTATATATTCACATCCAATCCCTGACAATAATTAATTAGAATATCAAAATCCTTCTAATTAAACTTCAGGAAATCCATAAATGGCTCCTCCTCCTCCTCCACCTCCACCTCCTCCTCCTCCTCCCGCCCAGCAATAGCCTTCTTAAGAGTTCTTAAATTAAAAAAATATAAAAGAATAAAATCCAGTTCCTTAATAAGGATCCCTCAACTTTTAAAATTCAATTTAAAATAATATGCCAGCATAAGATGATAAAAGCTTATTAGAAGCATTATTTTTGAATTAAAGCTTAAAAAATCTATAACTAATTGACAATAAAGGTGCTCCTTTAATTGATTAAAAGATTTCGTTTAGGAATGATAGAGATGTCAAAGGATTTAAGAATCATGATGAACATGCTTTGTACATTTTAAAATGCTACATTGAAGGAAAATATGCACAAAATAAAATAGATAGAACAGCAGAAATGAAGAATTTAGTGAGTTTCTGAAAAAGATGAATTATTTTAATATCAATATACAAAAATGAATTACTATAATAATTTTAAAGGGTGAAACTACAAGTGATTATTCCTCCATTTCTTATTCAATAAATAAATTTTGTAACATTCATTAACAATACGACGTGAGTAGACTTCTTTGTTTTCCATTCCTTATTATTAATAATTAGATAAGCAATCTGCAATTAATAATATTGCCTAGTTAAAAAATAATTACTAATCAGATTTGAAAATATAATATTTAGCTAAATAATTTAGAATAATTAACTTTCTAAACATAAAAACTAAATACTATAAATCAAATTAAGCCTTGAATCAAAATTAAAGCCAATCCAAATCTCACACATAAAACAAATCGCCAACCAATTTTCTTTAGATAATTACAATAAAATTATGGATATTGATATTTATAAAGAATACTCAAAATGGAAAAGTTTAGTTTAGCATGGATGTAAAATTCTAATGAGAGTATAATTAAGTTAATATGAACAACAAGGAATTTTAGATTAAATTAAAACAACCATCTTTAAACAGGTGCTTTAATATTATATGTATTATAACAATAATTAAAATAATTTATAATCATTCAATAAACAATATTCATTTTTTATCTACATGTATAAAATTAATAAATTCTTATTTATTATTTTTAGTTATTTGGCTTGTCATTTGATGACCAATTAAATAATATTATTATCATAAATTAAATATTTTTAATGCCTAGTGTCCTTTCAAAGATTCCTTTGCCATAATCATTTCAAAATAAGGTACTTTCAGGGGCAGTTTTGGTGCTAATTTTAATGATTCTGAAATCGAAAAAAGAAGCGTCGTCGCCTAGAAAGATACCGAGAAGACAAGGACAAGGGAATGTTGACAAAGTGTTTATGAACAGAATCTTAGATTTATTGAAAATTGTTATTCCTTCAATTAAAAGCATGGAAGTATTTGATTTGAGTGTTCTAACAGTGTTTTTATTTATTCGTACTATGATGAGTATATATATCTCATCTTTGAATGGTAGAATAGTTAAAACAATTATTAATGGTGATTTGGAAAAATTTATAAAAAAAGTATGAGAATAATATAATTTAGATCGTCCAATTAGGTTTAGTTGCTGTGCCTGCGAGTTTTGTAAATAGTTATTTAGAATATCTAAATAAATCACTTTCCCTCAGATTTAGAAGGAGATTAACAGAATACTTCCATGATCAATACATCAAAAATATGATCTTTTATTAAGTTTCAAATCTGGATAGTCGTGTTGCTAATCCTGATTAAAGATTAACAACTGATATAGAGAAGTGGGCTAACTCATTGTCTCAAATTTACTCAAATTTTTCTAAACCAATTTTGGATATATTTTTATTCTCAAAAAAATTAGCAGTTTCAATTGGATACTAAGGACCCATGTATGTGTTCCTATGGTATTTCTTTTCAGGAGTACTACTAAAAATTGTGTCTCCTGCATTTGGTAAATTAACTGCTATCGATTAAAAATTAGAAGGTGAATATAGAAGTGTTCATAGTCAATTGTTATATCATGCAGAAGAAGTAGCATTTTTATAGGGATAAAATTGGGAAAAACTAAAGATTAACTAATCATATTAATAACTTAATAAGCATTAGATAGTAGTGAACAAGTTAAGATTATTTATGGGAATATTTGATGGGTTGCTTGTTAAATATGGTGCAGTTATGGCAGGATATGGAATTATGGGATTACCAGTTTTTGGACCCAATAGTGAAGAATATTTAAAAAAAATTGGAAATGATAAAAGTGCAATTACAAGAGATTATGTTAGCAATAGTTCACTTTTGATAAATTTGGCTAAAGCAATTGGGAGATTGGTTGTCAGTTATAAAGAAATATAACAATTAGCTGGATACACTAGGGTTGTTTATGAAATAAAGGAAGTATTATCTGATTTGTCTTCTGGATATTATAAAAGAACTTAGGTACAATAAGAAAATGAAACTGGATAAGTAGTTATTGATTAGGGAAAGCATTAGACAATTTAATTAGACAAAGGCTAGGTAATTTAATTTTTTATTTTAGATTATTCAAACTTAAGACATAATTGAATTCGACAATGTACCTATCATTTCTCCAAATGGAGATACACTAATTAAGGGCATGTGTTTTAAAATCACACCTGGAATGAATGTTATCATTAGTGGACCTAATGGTTGTGGAAAATCCTCTCTTTTTAGAATTTTGGGAGCATTATGGCCAGTCTAAGGTGGTACCTTGTATAGACCTGCGATTGATAAATTATTTTACATTCCTCAAAGACCTTATTTACCTCCAGGAACTTTAAGAGATTAGATTATTTACCCTCATACTAAATTGTAGATGTTAAGAAGAAAGATAAATGACTAAGATCTGATAAAATTATTAGAGGATGTTTAGTTAGAATATTTGGTTTATAGAGAAAGAGGTTTGGATGCAGCAAATGATTGGAATGATGTCTTAAGTGGAGGAGAAAAACAACGTATTGCCATGGCTAGATTATTCTATCATAAACCATAATATGCTATTTTAGGTATCATTACTAATATAATTCAATAGATGAATGCACATCTTCTGTTAGCATGGACATTGAAGCAATTATGTACAATAAAGCTAAAGCTTTAAATATAACCTTGTTTACAGTATCACACAGGCAATCATTATTTAAATTTCATGAGTATATTCTTAAATTTGATGGGGAGGGAAGATATTGGTTCAATAAATAAAATATTTGAGAATATTTATAACATAATAAAGTAATAATAATGTTTAAGCAAAAATCTTTATAATTTTAATCAGCTACATTCCTCTATTTATTTTGCATTATAAATAAATAATTTCTAATAATACTAAGAATTAAATGTAGAAGTGTTATTTATTAATTACAGTTAATCAGAAAAAACATAATTATCTTAGTTTTGTGTGTTCTTTCTTTGATTTTCTCATTTAATATCCTATCTCTTATAATCATCAGATTGGTATCCATATTAAATTTGTAAGAATCTTCTATTAAACTCTATTTAGTTTAAAGGCAACTTGTGTAGACTCATAGACAATCTAACGTAAATAGAAATTATCAAAAATCTAATATTATAGATATGAAATGTGATGTTTGTAAAATAATATTTTTATATTAAATTAAATGAATTAATCAATCTCTATCCTTTATTAAGTATTGGAAACCAGCTCAGGAACAGCGTTTATAGTAGAAGAAAAAAGCTAAAATATTGGAACAAAATATTATGCTTTTTGTTTTAATTAGGAAAAAGTTATGAGTGAATCTTTATAAGATTAAATAAAAATTATTGAAAAATAAAGTCACAAAGATTTATATAGAAAATATATTAAAATGCACATGGAGGGTCAAAAATAATTCTTTTTATTTGAATATATTGAAGAGAGTCAATTTTTAGATCAAAAAATAAAGGATTACTCCAAAATTCAGAGATCTTTTCAATATCCTGAAATACAATCATACCTTAAAAACTTATTATTAGCCTTATATCAATTGCATAAAAATTAAATGCCTGGAAGAGTTTTTTCAACTTTTAATATAGTTGTTCAACCAAACAATAAAATTGTGTTAATGGATTTTGGATTCGAACCATAAATTGAACAAAATTACTTAGATATATTGGCACCACCTGAATATTTGAAGAAAATAATTGATAAAGGTATTATTTTGTAAAATATTTAGAAAATGCAAATTAAACAGATTATAAATTTGATTTAAAATTTGATTCTTGGTTGCTTGGAGCATTTTTATATCACTTAATAAAATTTTAATCTATTAACTAAGTTAAAGTAAACAATATTGATATACGATTTAAATATGATAAAAAAGAAGAATTTTATGAATATTTGAAGAATATCGAATATATACCTTGTTAAACAACAAGATACAAAAATACACTGCTCTCCTTAGTCTAAGGATTACTTACTTGTGATCCAAAGAAAAGATTATCATTTTTATAAATTTATTAACATCCATTCATTTAAGATCTTCAACTTTAGGGTTAACAAGAATATATTCAATTCTATTCGTAATGTCAATACATTAGAGATTTACAAAATGAAGTAATTGATACAAGAGAATTGAATAGAGATCCTCCTCCAATTATGGAAGTACCAACAAGATAACCTAATTATTTGCATGTTATTTTGAACAAACCTTAATTTTCAGATTAAAGCTTTTATAACTATTGGTTCAAAATTTAATTGGATTGTTTGAGATGCTATTTATTAGTTTAAACAGCTGATAAAATTACAATTTTGTCAAATTATAATTATCCTTTTATAAAGGTGCTGGTTTATATTATTAAAAAAATGCATTTACTTATTTTAAGGGAAATGAATAATTATTTGAAATCAGAACTTTATTAAAATTAACCAAATAGAAATTGGCAAATCTTTTTGAATCAACATTAGAGAGATCTAATCTCAACTGAATAAATAAATTTATATCTGAAAGTATTAGAATAAGAATTGAAAATAATTTTTGAACAACATTGTTAGATTCATTTACAATAGGGTTCTTTACTTCCTCTAGAAATATAGCAATCATTGAATGATAATAGAGATCAAGATCCATATTATTACTTTTTGAATGGTTATGCAGATGCTATATCAATGCTACTCATATATGTTGATTAATTAATAACTTAAAATCAGCTATTTAAATTAGAAGAATTATAAAGTTTCAAGAAGTTAATTTATTTTTGTGTAGATATCAATATTTCTTTTCAATCTTAAACATTTAAAGAATAATTTTAAAAACTAACATATAACAATCAAGAAGTGCAACCAAAAGATATAATTACTTTTCTTGGTATTACCAATAAGTTTGGATGATTTAATATTAATAAATAAATATAATAATAATTATTTTATTTTCATTAAAATCTCATCCAATTAGAGATACTTAAAAAATTTAATTATAAGCACTTTATCAAAACAATACCAAATTTTATTTTTGATTAATCAAATTGTTTCTATGAATATTTAATCATAATTATAAAAATAATTTTTCATCTGAGAAAAAAATGAATTCAATCAAATGATTCAATAAGATAAGTGTGCGAAGATATTATTTAAATTAAATATAACTATAATCAGATTTCAAAAGGTGATCAAGGCTTGTCAAAATAGACAATTTATTCCAAATGCTTAATTATTTTATATCTTATACTCTTTTTTGAATCAAAAATGCGAAAATACTTTTATCTTCTGATTTTGTAGTGAACTTATTCTTATTTGATTTTAAACTATCTCATTTTTATGAGTGCACTACGCAAAGTTACCAAATTAAAATGTTCTGTTTTTAGCAATCTACTATAAAAGGGTTTTTCATCCTAAAAAATAATATTTTCAATGACTTTGAGAATTATTTATCCTTTTTGACGGTTTTTTACAGCTCAGATTCAATTGTTCAAGAAATACACCGTTCTATTAAAAGTAAGCTAAGTTATATAAATTATATAAGTCTCTTATTAGGGTCAGATTCTAAAATTTGCATTTCAAATCTTTAAAGTCTAAGGGAGACTTTTGCTATCAATTTACTAACATTTCTTCCAAAAACTGTCAATTATTTATTCTGTATCATGTCCATCATAAATTACTCAAAATTAGATTATTGCTATAAAATATAGGAAATCCTATAATTTTAATGAATATGACAATTATTATTGCTAAAAAGTGGAATTTAAATAAATCTTAATTATTGTTTTTTAAATATCAGGTGGAGTATATTCAGGTTGTCTCCCATAAGGATCGTATATCTATTAATTGATTCGAGCAAAGCCAAATTTGCATAGCATAAATTTATAATCTGGGGTTATTAATATATCCTCTGGCTTAATGCCGCGATGTGCAATCCTGATGAATATAAAGAGTTTGTAGAAATTAATTGGCAAGCAAGTGTTTTTGATAAACTTGGCTAAACCCTTTATAACGTGAATTCTATAATATTTTTCATTTATTTAATTTATAAATTATATATTATTTATAAATAGGTTGATTGCATAGATATTAATTGTTTATTTTCGGTGTTTAAATGGTGATTCTATTTTTGAATTAAAGAATAAGTAAGCTCTCAATTCTAATTTTATTTAATGTGTATTTTTTATTATGATAAAAAAATTGATGGTATATTTATATTAAAGCGATTAATTATTATTATTTTCATCTTTTAATTTTTGGATGCAGGAGAAATAGACGAATGCCAATCTAACCATATCAACACAATTTCTTATGTGAGTATTCAGTCAATAAAAGGCCAATCTTCTATGAACTTTTTGATAACTTTATTGTGCCTTGAATTACCTGTGTGAATTGAGTGTGGTGTTGGAAGGAGAGTTAAAGACATTCTCTGGACTCTCAAGAGGTATCTTTTTAGGAAGGGTTTAGAGGAAAAGTAGGAATTCTGAAAATCGAAAAAGATAGGGGGGAATATAAATAGCAAAAAATAAAAAGGATAAATTAAATACATGAACAAAAAGAAGAAGTAAACTGAAGCCTTTAGAGATACAGGGTGGAAACCTAAATTAGAAATATAGGCTAAGTAACCTTTGAGCCGTGCGTCGATGAAGCTTCAGCCCAATAAGGGAATAAGAAGGAGTAAAGAAACATTAAGTGTGAATAAATTCAATTCTAAGAATTCTTCTCCTTTACAGCCCTTGTTTTGATATTGACTGTAATCCAAAGTTAAATATTTCAATTGAAAATCCTTTTATATTTCCTTTTTTTAACATAAGCTGAATTTATTTTATGTATTTCAAATTATTTTTAGAGCAAATCTATATTTTCAATTGTAACAGTTATATTTAATTCCTTCTTTTTGTGATTCTTATTAAAATGAATTTTAGCTCCAGTTTTTGCCTTAAAGGGCGTTTTCCACAAATTTTAAAATAATTCTCATATTTTTCTAGTTCACATACTTATTTAATTCAATTACCGTTAAAATTTATTTTTTTTTAGGATTCTTGCTTTATTATTATTCTTTTATTAATTCTATCCTGATTTTTTATATCCCTTTTTAAGGTTTGCTTATAACTTTTTAATTAACCTATTAATCTTTCTTTTAAGATATTCCCCTCGTCGTTTAAGTATGCCCTTGTAGTAGTAATTAAAGAGTTTAGTATATTATTTGTGAGTTGGATTTAATCTTTCAGTAGTGACAAAACTCTTTGTTATCTCTAATAGTTTAAATAAAGGACTTAATATTATTATTAAGTCCTAAGAATAATATGCATAAATTTCTATAACTAATTTAAATATTGGACTTTCTTCTAGTGGAGATAGCATAGATAAAAATTAATATTCAAAATAGAATTTCAAATTTAATGTAGTTAAATTATATATAATGATTTTAATGTTAAATAAATTCATCGGTGAATTTGTTTCCAATCCAATAAGATAATTCAATCTATGGCAAATCAACATCATAA